GTTTCAACAGAAAGAATGTTATTTAACTAAAGTTAGTTTTTAAACTACATATCGACGCTTGAAAGGCAAACGTGACTAAGCGACAATGCGTGAACTTTACAGTAGACTAATTTAAAGTTGAAATACCTGAAAAAAAAATATTTTAACGAATCTAGCTGTACGATTGAAATGATTTTAATAGACCTAGAAATACATATTTTTTGCGCATCGAATATAGTTATTGCCTATCATTTATGTACAAAGCAGTTATTTTCGCTTAGTCACGTTTGCCTTTCAAGCGTCGGTATGTTTTATTTTTCTAAATAAGAAATTTTAAAAATTAAAGCAATAAATTATGATTATTTTTATTATTATTACTAAATTCAATTACAATACATTTCACTATAGTAACTCGTTCGTTCTATATGAGAATGTAATGCAAGTCACTATAAATATTAAGTATGAAGTATTAAGCGCTCGAACTCTCAGACACAGCCCACTGAGTTTCTCGCCGGATCTTCTCAGTGGGTCGCGTTTCCGATCCGGTGGTAGATTCTGCGAAGCACGGCTCTTGCTAGGGTTCGTGTTAGCAACGTCATCAGGCTTGAGCCCCGTGAGCTCACCTACAAACTTTAGGGTTACGCTGAAATAGCCCCTAAGGCTATCAGCTTAGGTAGGCAAAAAACAAAAAAAAAATAAGCGCTCGAAATGACGCATGCCGTTGTAATAAAACATTCAAACAACACGTTGTTTGTAAACACCTGTGTAAGCCGCAACTTTAATTTATAAGGGTCTCGTGTTATGGAATGAAAATTGCATTACAGATGTTGATAAATACTGTAGTCATCAACAAATTAGAATGTTATTTGTGAACAGTTATTGTTGTAATGAATTTTTTTTTACGTAAACACGTGCACAGCACATTTATGGCTTCCAGTAAGTTCTTATAATAATGAGTGATAACATACAAACAGTCGACAATCACACAGAAACACTAATTAAAATGTCCGGTACAGAAACAAAACAATCTCCACAAACTTTTGAATATTTTAGTCATATGTTTTTAACTCTTTCGTTATGGTGGTATCCGGTAACCACTTAACATCAAGCTGACTGTAAACACGTTCAACACATGAAACGTATTACAGAACTTTGCCAAATCAACAGGATTTAAACATGAGCGACACTTAATAGAAGATTATTTTGTGTAATAGAAAATTTTAACAAAAAAGAAAATTGGCTTCTGCCCTACTCTTCAAACCGAAATGCATTTAAATATGGATAACTCAACAACTACTTATCAGATCTTGATAAAATTTATATACAGTCGAATTGAGAACCTCCTCCTTTTTTGAACTCGGTTAACAAAAAATTTTAAATAGATAAAAAAAAACAAGCCGTAAATCAAATTATTAAACAGGATGAAATCGACATCCCTAATGGTTGAGTAATGAAATTGAGCAACGGATGTACCGAACGTCGCCTCACATTTTTGGCTAAGGGAAATACATCGGTACAGCTACTTTCCTATTTGAATATTCTCAGAAAACCTGATTAGTAACCACTTAGCGTCCGCACAAGACAGTGCAGTTATTCAGATGACCAGTAAACGACAATTTTTATAGCAATCATCATATTTAGTAAGGGTTTACATAGTATTTACGTTGTATATTAGTTTAACGGGTTTTAACTGACAAAAAATGAGAGAGAGAATTGGAAGATATATAAAAGATTTAATAGATTTTAATCTATACTATAATATTATATATTATATTATAATATTATAAAGAGGAAAGATTTGTTTGTTTGTTTGTTTCGAATAGGATCCGAAACTACTGGACCGATTTGAAAAATTCTTTTTCCATTAGAAGCCGACGTTGTCCCTGATGAACATAGGCTACTTTTTTAATTTTTTTTTTATTTTATTTTTTTTATTTCATGTGTGTTTTAATGTTTCCGAAGCGAAGCGAGGGCGGATCGCTAGTAGTTAATAACTCTACACGTGTTCTTGAGAATTTACAACCGTTACTACGGATTCTCGTAACTATAATGTGTTGACATATGAAATACATATAATAGTTAATGCTTAACATAACATTATTTGACAACCCTGGGTGTGTACTATTCTCTGTGCCTATAGTTTAAAAATGTGTAAATTTGCGTTCAAATTATTCCTAAGAATGTTTATAGAACAGATAATGATCAATACTACAGTTATTCCTAATACATTTTTTTTAAATCGTTTATTAATTAAGTATTTAAGTTAATTGAATAAATCACTGACGCTAACATTAATTTAACGGCCCGCTTTGAAGAAAAATGTCAAAGAAATTTAATTATCCCCAAACTCACTTCCGCACAACAAATTTTTCCATATTTATGTTTGTTTCTTCAACTTTGTTTTGAGTGAGTTTTATGTATTATAAATAAAAAATATCAACGCTTTATTTTAATTGATTTTATTCTTAGCATAGATAAGCACATCTGGGGTTTATCGGAAACTAGAGATTCCTCTCTCTTTTTTGGTTTGGTTTGCGACAGAACTAGGTAAGATTTTGGTGTCTATCCGTGGGGCTCACATACGCCCTGACACCGATAAAAACCCGTTTATTTGTACGTATACCGCTGAAGAAGAAAAAAAACGGCGGCAAAAAATATATAATTAATAAATAAATAAAAACGCCGGCACGCCACTTCGTAGTTCAATGCTCCAGGTCGACGATCCACAGTGTACCGTACGCCGCGATCATAAGAAATGTACGCCCAGTCAACCTGGCCGAACGTGGAGGCACGGACGCACATTACGAATCACTTCACGCAAAGCATCTCCACGATTTAGCCGGGTTATCAGCCATTAAGCACCCAAGCGGAAAGCTACAGGTGCCGGAATATTAAGAGGTCCCATTGACCTACCAAAACCGAATGTAATCCGCATTAATACACCATTAAGTTTGCATTAGTATTTCATGATAACAGTAAATATTACGAACGATAGCTCGTTTACATTATAGAATAGGAGAGTTGACTTATTTTATAACTCAACCCAAAATTCAGAATAATTTTGAGCTTCGTATTTATTCTAAGACTTCGCAATGATAAATGACTTCATATATTCATCTAAATTTACAAAATATGCATATAAAACATTTAGAGCGTGTTTTTTGACAATTTCTTTTCAAAACAATCGTGATAACACTTCTATCGAACCAAGGTCCGGTCATTGCTTGACCGACATTAAATAAACGATCATTAAATTGTTTTAACTTTTACCAGGTAATCGATAAGCTGAACCGATTTATAATACTCAGTGACATAATCCGTAAAACGTAAATTAAGTAAATAAGTAATTTGAATTAGAAAGTCCGAATCTCAGAGGCACGTAATTCAATAAAAATCAAACCCGTAAAATGTATTATTTCCCGAATCATCATCGATGGTGAATCATGAGCTCGCACGAGCCAAGAAAGACAAGGTGGGTGACGGAATTCATGTTGGAACTATTGAATTACCACATCATTTTATTGGTCTTTAGATTTCACCATATCGTTTGTACCTTTTAAGTTGTAATATTAGTGAATCCTTTGAAGTTTCACGCTATGACCGTCGCAAAACTATTGAAATTCACCAAGTAATTTTTTTAAAGATTTTTTAAAAAAGTTCAATACTATTTACTCGTAATGAACATTTCAAAAATCTTTCAATTTTTGTTTAGGTATTGACAAATGTGGGTTAGGTTTTATAAAACTAAAAAAGAAATACCTAAATAAATTTTGTCACATTTCCGTATAATTTATACCTACATGAATATTAATACTGAACACGTAATAAATATTTATGAATCCGCAAAAGACAAATGTTAAGATATATAAAACAATGAATGCATGAAAAATCTGCCATATTCCGTAGTTTGAATTTTATTTTGCTAAAATAGACACACACGAAAGGCGGAATTTAAAGTAGGTAGGTACTAACTACTATTAGCGTTATCTCCAATCATGTAGTCTTTCATGTCGAAGATTTTGAAAACAGACCTCCCGAAAAAAATTACTAATGAAATTTTAATGTGAAGCCATTAATTAATTTGTTGATGAATACCTAGAAAGCAACGGAAAGGCGTGGGTGCTTCTATTTGCACCAGGCTTATTTATAACAAGATACACAGCATTCAAGAGATAATAGTACCGTGAAAGTGTTACTCACTAATGGAGTTTCAATTAGTTTCTTGGCGGATAACCGTTTAATCATGTAAGTACAAAAAGTTCAATAATTGCTAGGTAGTTCGTGTAACAAAACTGTTGGGCATATTTTGTTTGGCTCAAAACATACGTTTTTTCCTGAAATAATTTTCCGCTTAAACTTATGTTGTAAACAGCGGTCTGTTTTAATAATAGCGGTCTCACGACCTGTTGCTTTGAAATGCTAAATAATGGAGTTCATTTTGATGTTAGCATACACATTCTTTTTTGCTTTTTATTTATTAAAACAAAATTAATTTTGTTGAAATACGAGTCTAAGTTTGAAATCTGTTGGGTTACAGTTTCGAACTAGTTTACACCAGTTTTACTAGATTACAATTTCCAATTAGAAATCCACATAAAAATCGAAAGATAAAAAAACGATTCGGAAAACCCCGGCGGTTATTAGGTACTTAATAATGAGCGATGGGCATTTTCGTTTTGAACGATTTTACCACACCGTGAAGTCAAAAATTATCCACGGGACATGCTGATTAATTGCATTTAAATACATTAACAAACATGAATATGCCTGTGCAATCACTTCTGGCATGTTATTATTACGAATGCAAAAGCAGGTAGGTTTCAAAACAACGAACACTCGAACACAAACGCATGCGTTATCACGCGTTATCAATACTGAACTTTATCCGTTTACACTTACTTCGCATTAATTGTATCTACTAGAATAATATAACGCGATAAGATTTATCAATTAAACAAGAGATGCAATTAATGAATTAGCTAAAAAAGCGCTTTTATAGATTATGAGCAAGGTCGACTCACCGGGTCGATGTCCGCCTCCCAGACGTCCTTCAGATCATTGGAGATGTCGAAATAAACCTCCATGTCGGGGCCGGTGTAGCACTACGGCCTCCGACGCGAAAGCACAAGAAACTCCCTCGAGAAAAACTCGCACAACACAACTGTCACCGGCTGTCCTTTCGCCGAGCGGAACTGTACNGCTTTTATAGATTATGAGCAAGGTCGACTCACCGGGTCGATGTCCGCCTCCCAGACGTCCTTCAGATCATTGGAGATGTCGAAATAAACCTCCATGTCGGGGCCGGTGTAGCACTACGGCCTCCGACGCGAAAGCACAAGAAACTCCCTCGAGAAAAACTCGCACAACACAACTGTCACCGGCTGTCCTTTCGCCGAGCGGAACTGTACGGTACGTAATGTTCCAAACTATTTAGCAAACAAACTCAAAGAACACTGTGCATTATCACGAGTTTACGTTCAATCGTTTACACTATCGATGCCCATTTGTTGTTGCAATAAAAATGTGTTTTTATGAAGTTTGCCCGAACGCGAGGAATGTTTGGTGCGCCCGTATTCGAGAATTGTACACACTATCGCGGCAGAGGGCGGCCAGCGAATGGTCGCGGACGGCGTTAGCGGCGTGCACGCTCCCCACTTCATGCCGCCCCCTCTTTGATAGCGACACCCAACTTCTCATTCATAACGTGATAGGGGGTAAAAACGACACACGCCAGGGGGTGCCTGCGTCCGGCCCACACAATACTCTACTAATTGTGAACTCTTATATCTCAATGAAGCGCTTCTCGACCGAGATGAAGCCGTGGGAATACACGTTTCCCCTTTGTGTTACTACACACGGTGACACATTTACGTTTATTTAATAAATTCATTGCACTCCACAACGTCGTTCATTATCATAACAAATCCTGCTGACAAATTGTGAAGGCAATAAGATTTTAAGCGAATTTGAAAACATCACAATTAAGTCAGTTCTTCTCTTTTCTTCTTGTTCTTTTCTTTTGTTTTCTTTCTTTCTTTTGTTTTTTCTTTCTTTTTCGTTCTTTCTTTAGTTCCATTCTTTTTGATATGACATGACATTTATTTATTAGACCTCGCAATATTTCAACAATTATTACTATTTTACTTGTTGAATTTTAATTTCAATGTTAAATGTATGTGAAGTGGCAGTACTTTTTTAAATAAATAAAATAAATAAATAAAAGTCATGCATTTTTTTTTTTTTGCAATCCATAAACATCTGAGAAGCGTATTCGTGAAGAACTAAACTTTACCTCAGTTAGCTTGACCACAAATTCGTTTAACGGAATATGCGAATAAGATATGCCTTTCTGAACTTTAAATAACCTACGCTGTAAATTATGACCACTTTACAAGCTTTTATAACATATATTATTTATTATACACAAAAAAAAACACCAACTGGTGGTAGGACATCGTGTGGGTCGGATAGGTACCACCACCCCGGCTATTTCTGCCGTGAAGAAGTAATGCATTTCGGTTGGAAGGATCAGATAGCCAAAGTTCTATAAAAACTGACACCTTAGAACTCATGTCTCAAGGTGGATGGCGTCATTTATATTGTGTATATGGGCTCCTGTATCCATTTAACAACAGCTGGGCCGTCAGCTCGTTGCCCATCTAAGCAATAACAAATAGTATGAAACTCCGTATTGAGGGCCTTTTCCTGCTATTTGATGAGAGAGAAACCCACTTTCCTGAGAAGGCAAAAAGCATCAATGTACATTGATATAAAATACCCTCTTATATATGGTATGGGCCAGTGGGAACGCAAAGGACCATGTTTTTTTTTAATGCTTAGAAGGATGGACGAGTTCACAGCCCACCTGGTGTTAAGTGGTTACTAGAGCCCATAGACATCCACAACGTAAATGCGCCACCCATCTTGAGATGTAAAGTCAATAATTTAATTTTCTCAACCTAATGCTTATTCCAGGGCAAACATTTAATAATGATGACTTATAAACAGCTTAGTGTGTGCATAGAGGACGGGGTGGAGGATATGTTGGTAATTTTAAAGAAACAAAAGCGCTGAACATTTCTTTCAGAACCTCCCAGCGCTAATTGAAGTAAATTTCCACCTTTGGCCAATATCGGTCATATTTATTTGGTTTAAAACCGTAATTAATGATATGAGCTATTAATCTATGTCAAAAACTCTATACAGCGACGATAGCTTTTTAATTTAAGTTCCATTTCTGTTCATTAAAAAGGTCTGTAAATAAATTTTACTACACATTAGCACAGATAACCTTTATTTATATTAAATTACAGACAGTAAAACATTTGAATATCAATTTGTATTATAAAAGATCTTTGAATACTTAATGATATATAGTAAAATTATTTGCAAAAATTAAACTAATTCAAATTAATAAGATTAATATCACATTATAAGCATGCAGGTGTAAAAAACACCTCGTTGTTATTAATATACAATTTACCTATAACCGATAATGAAGATAACAAAAAATCGTTTTCTTTGATTTATAATATTGCTTACACTATTCCGAATTAAAAACATACGATAAACATCCAGATAAAATACATCCTGTATATAATGATTTTGCGAAAAGGATACTTTTTTCATACAAAAAAAAACACTACATATTTAATGTTTAGTAGGTTCATGTCTAGTGGTCAATTTTAATTGTATTACATTGCGTGTTATGCCAAAAATAACTTTTATTGTTTATTGTAACAAAGAGGAATGCATCATATATGTACATACATACTATGTACGTAATAAAACAATATTATTCGAATCAAACCTTGTAAGTTTTGCTTAGATCGGTGGACGAGCTCACAACCCACTTGTGTTAAGTGGTTACTGGAGCCCATAGACATCTACGACGTAAATGCGCCACCCACCTTGAGATATAAGTTCTAAGGTCTCAGTATAGTTACAACGGCTGCCCCACCCTGCAAGCCGAAACGAATTACTGCTTCACGGCAGATATAGGCAGGGCGGTGGTACCTACCCGTGTCTTGCCTTGTTTATTTTCAGGAGAGCTGGCTGTTTGAATTTCGTGTTGATTAAATTCATTTTCCTGTATTCCCGGTGGGTGGTGTTATGAAGAGCGAAGGTATATGAGTTTGCAGAGCGGCGATGCCTCCGTGCAGAATGCAGACCCTAGGAACGCCGCATTTCACTAAATAATCACTGAACTGAAACAAACGTTAAACACTTTGTAATTTACCTCTCACTTTACCTCACTTTATATTAATAAAAGTCTCTTCGACATTGCTAACGTCAGGGACACAGTCGCCTATCCCTAAGCGCTTTTTAATACGCTTTTATTAGCTTCAGACGTATGTATGTTTGTAACGGAATCTTTGAACATGATTTTGACCCCCTTCAAAATGTCGGATTAACTCGAAATTTGGTATACTTATTAAGGACCGAAGACGATTCGCTTTTTTTTACATTTTTTCTTACACTATTTTTAATTCAAATTTATTAAAATTTGTTTTCTATTTTTTACTTGGATTTTCTATAAAAGCGTATTTTGTTAGTTTTTTTAAACTATTTTTTATTTTTTCCTTACCTAATCACTGGTAGCTTCGAACTACGCGCGGAACTACCTAGCCCACTAAGTTTCTCGCAGAATCTTCTCAGTGGGTCGCGATTCCGATCCGGTGGTAGATTCTGCGAAGCACCGCTTTGGCTAGGGCTAATGCTAGCAAATTCGCTCAAGTTGAGCCCGCGAGCTCACCTAACCGTCCGTGCGTAGCTGCAATAGCTGGCTATCGGCGAACAGGTAGGGGGAAAAAACAGCCAACATCTGCATTAGATCGAAGCGTTGCCTCTTTTTTTTTTTAAGGGATTTTATGTGACCTGGTAACTAAGACCTTTAGGTCATGTCTTATTTTAGTTTATATTCTTATTTTTATGAAAAATGATAATATGGAGTGAAATGAAATGAAGACGATTAATTTGAGACATTAATCAACTGGGATGAATTACTGACATTTACTGAGATTTTTTCAGTGGACTTTTTGGGAGGATCCCGAGAAGTTACGTCCAGCGGCTTTGTTTCATTTTCCCACATTTGTGCACTTTCACAGATATTAAACAGTTAATAAACCTGAAGAAACACTAAATAGACAAAATAAAACAAATCACACAACTTCACTCCTCGCGTTCCCGGCAAAAAGTCGAGCGTTTTCTCCCTAACTTTATAACACATTACCCTCTTCAATTTCTTTAGTCAGTAGTAAAGTAGGAAGGTCAGTCTACGTCAAAAAGTGTGACCAGCAATTTATATTATTTTCTTTTTCATTCCGCGCGTATTTTTATTTAAAGTTATACATTGTTACAATAAAAAATTACAATGTAGTAATAATCTATATAATTATGACATTCAGTAAGCGAGTTGCTATACGATTCCAAACTGGCTATTTATCATTTACTTTCGTCACTCATTACCTACAATCCAATTGTAATGTACATAATTAAGCAACTTTGATAATAATTGAGGAATTCTATACGAATTTATTGTTTTATATTATTGAATTATGTAATTTCGTTTTATCGGTGTACGTGTAGTGGTGACGAATCGTTTAACAGAGTTTTGTTATGTTCGGCTAAATTAATATTAATTGGACATAATAATAATAACTGAAAATCACGCATATTCATTGGACTCCCACTTTACTGGTGGTAGGACCTCTTGTGGATTCGCGCGGGTGGGTAACACCGCCCTGCCTATTTCTGCCGTGAAGCAGTAATGCGTTTCGGTTTGAAGGGTGGGGCAGCCCTTGTAACTATACTGAGACCTTAGAACTTATATCTCAAGGTGGGTGGCGCATTTACGTTGTGGATGTCTATGGGCTCCAGTAACCACTTAACACCAAGTGGGCTGTGAGCTCGTCCACCCATCTAAGCAATAAAAAAAACAAAAATCTCCAATTTAAGATTCTTTGAGCTATGGGAAACAGAGACTGATAAACATACTTGTATATGTTTAAATATATATAAAAACACCCAGCCAAAGAGCAAACAAACCTGTTCATCACAAGAATGTTTGGCCGATGTGGGAATCGAACTTACGACCCTTGGCGCAACAAAGGCGCTAACTTCTACACCACTGAGTCAGGACATACCGTGGTCTACATCGTACCAACTTACTGTAACATCGTATACAGGTCTTTAGAACGGAAACGTGTGGGTTTGCTAGAGAATTAGGCGAATGCTAAGGGCTTACAATACGACGTACCGCCAATTATAACAGTGATTTACTGAGACTTTTTCAATGGACTTTTTAGAGGATCCCGAGAAGTTACGTTCAGCGGCTGTTTCAATTTCCCACATCGGTGCACTTTCACAGATACTAAACAGTTAATAAACCACTGTTATTACACATTTAAACCTGAAGAAACACTAAATAGACAAAATAAAACAAATCACACAACTTCATTCCTCGCGTTCCCGCCAAAAAGTCACTCGTTAGCTTGGCGATGGCAAAGGGTTTCGGTCTTGGGAACGATACTTTAATAGACATTAGGCACGGGATTCCCGGACTGAATTTAATACAGTTTTCAACTTAGATATGTAGACTCTTAGTGGGAGTCTTAATTTTTGCTTACAAAGGGCTCAGAGTACTTTTTTTTATTTCTTACAAGTGGTGAACGAACCCACGACCAACTTGATGTTAAGTAGTTACCGGGGCCTATAGACATCAAGAATGTAAATTCCAACATCCACTTTAAGACATTAATTTCATGTCTCAGTTCTATTAGTACAATAGTATTTTGATAATGACAATTTGTATAAAATACATTAACTAAATTTATGAAATATGATTTTTTAAATTTATTCAATATTCTGGTACAACGAAATTGTTTTTATAGATTTTTACTCCAAAAAAAAAAACGTTTCCGAGAATTTACAAACTAAATTAGATACTTACAGGGGGAATTCCCTACACATTACGATTATTTCAAACAAATAAATGTATGTAGTGCACGTTGCATTTTTTTTATACCGCCATTTCGGAAAGGTAGGAGTCCAGACTTTACTGTCACACATGTCAACAGATTATCCAAAATAGTTCTGAAAAGTTTTCTTTCGTAATAATAGAACGTTTCAAAAAAAAAAAACTCAAATTTCAAATTACCAATTGCGCGGTCTCGTCTTCGGCCGAGGCAATAACGACGTTCCTCTTCATCTTGATGGCTTGCTGCAAGGCGCGCTCGGGCTGAGGACCGAGAGCGCGGAGCTCGTGCCGACCGAGATGGACGCCACTGTACGGCACGTTTACACTGCCGTCTATGCAGCTCTTCTCGTAACTACAATAGTGTTCATCTATTATTTTACGTTTGTTAAAACTATACTCTGTTACCTTGAGTCATGATTTGTTAATCGTTTGTTTAATTATTATTTTTTCCAATGAAATTGTCGATTTTACTGTCACCCTTGAGCTAATAAAGCGTCAAATATCCTAAACCGGTTGTTTCCTTTGCAACTCATTTGTACGCCCGCTGATTTGATTTCTCCCATTCCCGAATGAAAAATCGTCGTGGCCTAAAGGATAAGACGTCCGCTGCATTCGTATGTAGCGTTGCAGCGGTTTTCGAATCTCGAACACGGGTACATTTTTTTCTAATGAAATACGTAAATAACAAATCTTCACGATTTACTTCCACGGTGAAGGAATAATATCGTGTAATAAAAATCAAACCGGCAAGATTATAATTTGCGTAAATACTGGTGGTAGGACGTCTTGTGAGTCCGCACGGGTAGGTACCATCACCCTGTCTAATTTTGCCATGAAGCAGTAATGCGTTTCGGTTTGAAGCGTAGGGCAGCCATTGTAACTATACGGAGACCTTAGAACTCATATCTCAAGGTGGGTGGCGGCATTTACGTTGTAGATGTTTTTTTTTCTTTTTTTATTGCCTTTGTAGGCAGACGAGTATACGGCCCACCTGATGGTAAGTGGTCACCGTCGCTCATGGACGTCAGCAATCAAACCAGGGGCAGAGCCAAGCCGCTGCCTACTATAAAGTACTCTCCGCAAGCCTCGTTTGAAGAAGGACATGTCATAGCGCTCGGAAAACACCGTGGAGGGGAGTTCATTCCAAAGCCGGATGGTACGTGGCAAAAAAGATCTTTGGAAACGCACTGTCGATGAACGCAGCGGTTCCAGATAATATGGATGAACTCTGCTCCGATGGCGGNGCCAGGGGCAGAGCCAAGCCGCTGCCTACTATAAAGTACTCTCCGCAAGCCTCGTTTGAAGAAGGACATGTCATAGCGCTCGGAAAACACCGTGGAGGGGAGTTCATTCCAAAGCCGGATGGTACGTGGCAAAAAAGATCTTTGGAAACGCACTGTCGATGAACGCAGCGGTTCCAGATAATATGGATGAACTCTGCTCCGATGGCGGGAAGTGCGATGATAAAAAGGAGATGAGGGAATCATCTCGAATAATTTCTCAGAGCATTCCCCATGGACCATGCGGTATAAAACACAGAGAGAACCGAAGTCCCTCCGTAGACCCAGAGGTTCCAAGCGATCCGCGAGAGCAGGACTATCAACCATCCGAACAGCCCGTTTCTGTATGGAGTCAAATGGAAGTAGCTGGTATTTGGGAGCCCCGGCCCAGAGGTGAGAGCAGTACTATGGGCACACCAGGTAGGCCGTGTGCTGGTCCACTCATCTAAGCAATATAAAAGAAATAAATAAAATCTAGTTAATATTTAAAAATCCCCCAAAATTCCAGTGAAGTTATTTGAACTGTTTCGTTGTATCGATACATGTTGTTATTTTTAATTGTTTCTAATAAAACTATTTCGAAAAGAAATACTCACAGGAGATTGGACCTTATATCGACGACGCAGCATTTGTCTTCGCAGATCAACGAGAAAAAATCTGACAGACTTATCCTGGGACAGATCTCGACGAACAGTACTTCCATTGGAATTTCTACTTGATCCTAAAAAAAAACAATAGAACATTCTGTTTTTAAACATTACTTTCTTCAGTCAGTTGAGACATATGTCTTACAACGCCCCTAGTTTCTTTAGATCAGTAGTTTTAAAGCCCACTGAGTTTCTCGCCTGATCTTCTCAGTGGGTCGCGTTTCCGATCTGGCAGTAGATCCTGTGAAGCACTGCTCTTGCTAGGGTTCGTGTTAGCAACGTCATTAGGTTTGAGCCCCGCGAGCTCACCTACTATCTCGATGAATCTAGAATAACCCCTCGAGGTTACTAGTATAGGCAGGAAAAAAAAAGTTGTTAAAACAAAAATCTTACCATAGCGTCTTTTTTAACAGTGTCATTCGTGAATCTTCTGTAACTGATGCTTCTTGGCGAGCTACGACACATATTTATAGCCTCCTAAAACATTATTTACAGATAAATATTATTATCGATTTTTTGAGCATGAATGACTTCTCCACGCCTTTCGTTAATCTCACCTTGACACATTCTCCTATATCGATTTCGGGTAAATCGGAGAACAACAATATACATTCGTTGAATCCGGATTCTAGTAAAGTGTCACGCAATTGCCTCAATATTCCCACACCCATAAATAAAGGCAACGAGGGACCCTCGACCAGAAAGGCGTCCCATAGATGAACTATTTTGTGTAGCGGAAAAACATCTGAAAGAGATAAAAATTAATTAGGTAATCAAATTAAATTTGAAACGTGTCTTGAATAAATATTTTAAATATATAATGTTCTGAGAATTAACATTCTTCTGAGGATCTGAAAGGTGTATATAGTCTGCCGCTTTCTCACAAAACGAGTGGTAACCTATCTCTATATATAAAAATGAATTGCTGTTCGTTAGTCTCGCTAAAACTCGAGAACCGCTGGACCGATTTGGCTAATTTTTGGTCTTGAATTATTGGTGGAAGTCCAGAGAAGGTTTAAAAGATAAATAAATATAAAAATGCTCGGAATTAAAAATAACAATTTTGTTTTTCCTTTGATGTGTCCCCGTCGGACGGATTCCTTTTGTTTGTTTTAAGTTTATTTTATACAAAAGTTTAGGTCTTTTATTTATCGATTGAGGCACTACGAAGTTTGCCGGGTCAGTTAGTATTGTATGTCATTTATGAATAATGACGTCATTGTTAAAAATAGCGCGTCCCTATATTATAAGATAATTAATTAATTTTAAATTAATAACCAATACGCAGCCTGTATAACAATTGAATAGCTATGATGTTCACGGGGCGCGGAGAGGCACGTGTGTAAAAATAAACGTAACAGACGTAATATAAAAAACGAGCTAATTATTATTACTAAAGTGGAAGGAAAGAGAAGTCGAGGAAGATTGCCAACCCGGTGGACGGACATTATCAAGGAGGCCACAAACACCAGCGTCCCGGGCGCCGTTAAGCAGGCCGAATGCAGGCAACATTGGAGGAAGCTGGTGCAAAAACTGGACCATGGTGGTCACGACCCTCAGTAATGAGGAAACGACAAAGAAGAAGAAGAATTATTATTACTATTCTCTAGTATATCGGTTACAGAACTTATAGATTGACAAAATGAATTCATGACGTACTATTAATTGTACTTGTCACACATGTTATATAATAAGTATTACACCGTCTTGGTGGCGGTAGGATTTAATTGAGATTTTTCAATTCAATAAGTCATCATACAAATTGGAACTGTGTGTCGGTTACTATCTAACTGAAAGATTCTGAGAACGTTTAAACCACTATGGTTGGTAAAAAAATCCTACACCAAATAAAAAGCGTGGTATATCCACGGAATAGATAATTAAGCTTATTTATCTATTTCGTGGGTATATCTATACTAATATATAAATCTACAGTGGTTTTTACGGATGTTCATTTATAACTACTGAACCATGCATCCGATTGACTTGAAACTTGGTATTTATGTAGAAAATAAATGTACTTAATGGATAGGCTAATATTTATATGAGTGTTGGTCTCCCTAATAATAATGACAATAAATAATAATGTTAATTTTAAATGTCCAGGGAAGCGGGCGAATACGGATAGTATATTTGTATAACTAGCGACCCGCCCTCGCTTCGTTTCGGGAACTGTAACTGTACTTATTAGATATTTTTCCTACTTCCTTTCCTACCCTTTTAGCAGTAGGCAGCGGCTTGGCTCTGCCCCTGGCATTGCTGAAGTCCATGGGCGACGGTAACCACTCACCATCAGGTGGGCCGTATGCTCGACTGCCTACAAGGGCAATAAAAAATAAATAAAAAAAACTTCCTTGACACTTATCGTTACATTTTGGGTAATTCATGCTATATCTTTATAAATTATAGTCTATATGTTATTGTGATGTGTCAGCTATATTATTGTAAAGTTTCATCAAAATCAAATAAGTAGTTTTGTGTGAAAAAGTAACAAACATACATCCATAGATTCTTACAAACTTTCGCGATTATAATATTAGTAGGATATAGGAAATAGGAGCGTCCAGGAACTCCATGTAACTCTCCCCGGTGCGTATCTGCATTTACATCGGGGACCTAGGATACCCTCCGGGGCGAATTCTTCATCCTTCCCCCGATTGGATATATATAGGTTTGCCCAGGTTTGCCCAACGTGTGCACCAACAATCAGACCGTAAGTACCCGGTTAAGAACGGTGCTTTTAGGTACCTCAAGCACCGGTGCCCATCCTCGTCGAACCCGTCGCTTGCGACGAAGGGCTCGGCGAGTATATTAACCCACAGACACAGCCCACCTATTTTCTCAGTGGGTCGCGTTTCCGATCCGGTGGTAGATTCTGCAAAGCACTGCTCTTGCTAGGGTTATTGTTAGCAACGTCGTCAGGTTTGAGCCTCGTGAGCTCAACTTCTTGTTAGGGTTACGCTGAAATGGTCTCTCAAGACCATCGGCTTAAGTAGGAAAAAAAAGGTACCCGGTTTAATCTGAAGATAATGTGATAGGCATCTATTGCGCTGTTTAAAGACCTTCGATGAATGAACCTGAGTGACTCACGCGAGAACATAGTGAGGAACCAAGGTATGGCGAAGAGTTCCGGCACGAAGTTGATGTCGTGGAGGTGGGTCGCGAGTCGGGGCTCGTGGAAGGCCGCCATCTGCCAGAACTTCGCAAGGTACTCCTTTATGACGGCGCTGTTGTCCTTCAAAAAGAACTTGTGCAAGAACTTCGGCACGAACGCACTGAGGCACGCAAATGCTCGAGCTGTGGATAAATCACGTGTTTTTATATTTACTTTTTAATGCTTAGATGGATGGACGAGCTCAACATCGACCTGATGTTATATGGTTAACGGAGCCCATATACATCTACAACGTAAATGCTGTCGCCCACCTTGAGATATGTGTTCTAAGATCTCATTATTTTTTTTCTTTTTTCCTACCTATGCTGATAGCCTTGAGAGGCTATATCAGCGTCGCCTTAACTAGTAGGTGAGCTCACGGGGCTCAAACCTGATGACGTTGCTAACACGAACCCTAACAAGAGCCGTGCTTCGCAGAATCTACCACCGGATCGGAACCGCGACCCACTGAGAAGATCCGGCGAAACTCAGTGGGCTGTGTCTGTGGGTTAATTTACTCGTCGAGCCCTTCGTCGTAAGCGACGGATTCGACGAGAACGATGACCGGTGCTTGTGGTACCTAAAAGCACCGTTAGTGGATCGGGAGGATCCGAAAAGACGTGTTTGGGGCGACGTCGACTGCTTTCCATTCTGTCCGCAGGATCGGGAATGTAGTTACCGGCAGCCACGATGAGAGGGTTCTCGTGTCGTGCCGCTTTACCGAAGTGGCGCATCGACGCCGACTGAAGATACTTACTGATGGACTCTAAGTCCAGGTCGTCATGGAGGTCGACGTTCCTGACGAACCACGGAACTCCGACGGCTATCCTGCAAAAACGGGATTGAATGATTTGGAATGATTTTAAGGTAGTGCGGGCCGCATGAGCGAACACTACACTTGCATAGGTCATGACGGGGCGTATGCAAGTTTTGTAGAGTGTCACCTATTTCTAAGGGACATTTTACTTCGCCTGCATATCATCGGGTAGATAAGGTCTCAAACGGCTGCTCCACCCTTCAAACTGAAACGCATTACTGTAGACCGTGTGGACTCACAAGACGTCCTACCACCAGTATTAACGCAAATTATAATTTTGCGGGTTTGATTTTTATTGCAGGATGTTATTCCTTCACCGTGGAAGTCAATCGTGAATATTGGTTAGGAACGCATTTCATTAGAAAAATTGGTAGTGAGATCGTCCAGCAACCTACGCAATACAAAAAAAAAAGAAATTTTAAGGCACATTACCTTCATTACAGAAGTTAAGGTACATGAATGGTGCCGTCAGAGAATCGAGTCCTTGCCAATACACGTATTGAGGGTTGGTCAGTAGCCACGCCTTGAGGAGCCTCTTGAGCGTTCTGTGGCCAGCCGAGCCGCATAGCAACCAACAGTACTGATGACAACGCGGTATGTCCACATCTATCTGTCGTGAATGTTCTAATTAAAAATGCGGGTGACACATTGAAAATGAGTTTTGATATTTTTAAACCGACTCCAAAAAAGAAGGAGGTTCTATTGAGAACCTCATCCTTTGAATTGTCAAATAGGTGAGGTAAAACGCAAAACAAAAACCGTTGTGTAACAAACAAGAAAAAAACATGCAAAAATAATGAATGAAAATAATTGAATTTGAATTTGAATTTACGTGAACATATACAAAAAAAAAAATTTTTGAATTTTTTTTATTCTACATTTATAGGTCCCATGAGCTTAAGATATTTTCAACGGACACGATGAGAACGTACAAATGACAAGATCCTGAAGAATTGGTAAGCCGGAAGTGCATTTTGCTTTTGAGTTTGCAGTATAAAAAATAAGTACAATTTCTTTTTTAATTTCTCAAAAGATGACTGCTTCACGCCCGAAATAAGCAAAACGTACAAGCCTATAGCGAGTAGTTATACAAATTTAAATGTTGCCTTAAAAAAAAATGACAATTCGTACAATTAATTTCTGATAATATGCCTTAAGTGTGCTCTCGCAGTGTTCCTCACTTTTGAAAGCCGTAATTTTTCCCTGATGATGCTCCTCAATCTATGTCTGTCCTTAGTATCATAGTGAGCATCACGCAGCTTGGTGTTGAGGTGATTTGGTCGGTCCATCTTATTGGACTGCGCCCTCTTCGTTTTCGTTCGTTGATTTTCCCAGCAACCATCACCTATTAAGTGTATTAAGCCACAAATTGGAAACTCACCTGTCTGTCAGTAGGCGTGGGTGTCTCTTTATCAATCCTCTCGTACTGTTCTTCTATATCTCCGACAACGCCGAGTAGGGCTGCCCACACATCGCCGCGCACTAACGGTGGGATATCGATTTCTGCTTCTGCTCGTATATATGGAGCTGTATATGGATAGCCCTAGAATTATGTTTTTGTTATAATAAATCGTCTAAATAGATATTGCGTCTAAAATGAATATATATTGATGATTTCAAAGGTGCTTTCACTCACGAATTAATGTGGCTATTAATTTAAAAAAAAAAAAAAAATGATTAAGAGAACACCCTTTACCACAGATTACCTTGTTTTTTTAAAGAAAATAGAACATGACATCTAACTATGAAGAGTAGAGGGAAGGAGAACTGTCATATTATGAGGTGTACAAGTTGAAAGTATACAGCTGTGACCAGCAAATTACAACTCAAAATCCCACCAAAATACCACAAGCGTATCAATTAGTATGATATGTATGTATGTAAACAAAGTGAAGTAAGTGTGCAGAATTTAAAAAAAATCTAACAATTTTCGTTCTATTTTTAAAATTACACCATTTGCAAATCTGCGTCACGCTTTTCGACGGACACTTTTCCATAGACCAATTTACCTTTTTTTATATTGTTTTTAGTGAAATAGATTAGGTACATAAGCTACGCTTTTTATTTTTATTGCTTAGATGGGTGGACGAGCTCACAGCGCACCTGGTGTTAAGTGGTTACTGGAGCCCATAGACATCTACAAAGTAAATGCCGCCACTCACCTTGAGACATGAGTTCTAAGGTCTCAGTATAGTTACAACAGCTGCCCCACCCTTCAAACCGAAGCGCATTACTGCTTCACGGTAGAATTAGTTGGTGGTACCTACCCGTGTGGACTCACATGAGGTCCTACCTCCAGTAAAACTGCTCATTACATACAACTTACATGCAACAGTCTCTGGAACCAGAGCAATCTATAGAATTGGTATTCCGTATCCCTCTCTCGGATCGTTTTCGGCAACGTGACGGCGTCGTTTTGTTTCTTCCGTTCGTGCATGAGCGGATAGTAGTCGTGGGCTGATACATGACTGAGTCTGGACTGCAGCAGCTCGATGCTGTATTTCGCGATGCGGCGATCGTATAGGACTCCGGTTTTGCCGCCTATAGTACAACCGTCGAGGAGGATAGCGCTAAAATCAATATCATGTACATTCATTTTTAACTGATGCGTAATTGCCGCTAATGCCGCAGCCCTATGACCAGTTCTTCAATTAAATTTTTTATTCAAATATGATATTCGGTTTTTGTGATTAGTAACTATGAATTTGGACACACTTTAGAGACGTGCAATATCTTATAGATAGTATGTTAAATAGTAGTAATGTGTATTGACTCTGATATTTGTGATAAGTATCTTTGCATCTTCTCAAATTTCTATCTTGAATGCTGATTGTAGGGCATCATAACAACCTGACAGGGACTGTTTTCACCATTCTATCCGTTTATGCTATCAAGCAAAAATATTTAAATAAAACATTAAATTCTTACACAGGTATAGACAGTATGGGTGGACTGTTTTTGATCAAACCATTTCTCTTCAATTCAACTTGTATATCACCACCAGCCAGTTGCCACCAATGATAGAGATACTGTAGTTTACAGCCCATCAATCCTCGCGGCGGTTTCACAGCACACATTTCCTTGGTATCAACATTAGACAAGTCCTGGAGTATTTCGGTGATTGTCGCTCTTTTACTAGGGCAAATTTGGAGGCATTTTTCTATTAAGGTTTGCAGGTATTTAGGTAATTGCTGAAATTAAATTTTATGATAGATCATAATCACTTTCCACCAGGCAAATCTTTTTCTTGTCTTTTGTTGCTTATGAAGACATTAAAATACCTGTCCTACTTACCTCCCATTAACCTGTTGTATTACTGTTAATGTTATTTTGTTTGTCTCATGTTTGGTAGCAACACTATAATGATTATACCATGGAGTCTATTTTTTGTTATTGTTTCATATATATTTATTTCTCATAATACCTTTGTATGAGGTATATAGTGAATTTATGAAATGCGAACAACATTACAAGAATTTATATATGTTTATGTAAGTAAAATTTATTTTTGGTATAATTTAGGTTTGCAGTTTGTTTGTGTATCAATTTTTGCTGGTTTTATTACACCTTGTTTGCGTAAAGGAAATAATTACTACATTAGATGACACACCAAATTATCTACCCATGATATACTTACTTCATATTCCTCAATGCTGTTATGCTCTCTTGCAATTCTTTTAGCAGGGTCATTAACATGCACCAAGCCAAGTATTCTTCTCAATATTGGACCTGGTTTTAATTTAGCCCAAAGCTTTCCGATACACAACTCTAACAGAATGACACCAAATGTCCAAATGTCTGCTGTAGGACCACCACTGTTCAATATTGTTTCTGGACTTAGGTATCTTGGTTGACTAGAAAAGAAAAAAATCAAACCTTTATGAAGTTTAATTCATGTCATTAAACTTAATAAAATTATTGTATTTATTAACAAGGTCTTCAAGTACTATTAGTACTAACTATTTCTGTTCTGAACCAGTTGTAAGCTTTTGTTTTATATAAATGGTAGCATTCAGTGTCTATGGAATTTGAATGCCTATAGATTCCAATAACCACATAATACAGATGTGATGTTTGCCATCTACAGAAGTAGATTGCCAGCTATGTACCCTAGATAGGATAAAACTCAACAACTATATCTTAACATTAATCAAATTAAGATAATTATGGAAATGACCAACAAGTGCTGAATTTAATGTTAATAAACCATATTTTACGCTAATTAGCATTCAAGATAATTCCAATTTGATTTTGGATATTATTTACAGGGTTGCCTTCAAATTTTTACTTACCCAAGTGGAAATGCAACTTCACTACCTCCATATGTCATGTAAAATATACCATAATTGAATAGTTTTACTTTTCCATTCAAATCTATCAAAATATTGTCATCGGAGAGTGTTCTGTGGGTAATATTATTTGCATGCAAATATTGCAGTCCATTGGCAACTTGTCTGGCTATATTTATTATTTCCTCTGTGGATAACTTTTTTTTGAGATCAGCTAATGACTTTCCTATAACTTCAGCCACAACTATTATTCTCTCTGTAAGAAGTAATTGGTTTCATATTTTGAAAAACAGTTTCTCTTAGTCTTTTATTTAATTACTTATAATTCCTCACAATCGGTACAGAAAATTGCTCTCAGAACAACAAACAAACCTATTTGACATATTGGTAGAAGAACCTAAAAAGTGCTGCGATAAGCACTAATACTCTTAACTAGGAAAAGTTATTGCTTTTGTTATTGTTATGCCTTTATTTTCACTCATTATTTTTCTTTTTTGTAGATGGGTTAAGGAGATCACCTCTCATCTGGTGTTAAGTAGTTTCCACAGCAGTCATCACAATTTTAAGGCTGTTCCAGCCTTCAAACTACAAGGCAGGTTTGATTCAAAACAGACATAGATATGGTACGTATCCATGAGGATTTACAATATACTTTATCAATATTTTTTTTATTGCATATGAGTTGACTATTATCAAAGCCGGCAATGTGACTTTTGGACAATTATTGGTAAATCAGAAAAACGAATTATTGACTTTGTATTCCATTGGCAGTCACAAAACTCTTCTGAACGACATCTTAGATAAATAACAGGTTAAGTATTAACCTTTATTTAATGCAGGTTTTGAACCATATTCTTTGGAGGAGACGATTATATTCAAATCAATCTGTATTGACATATCAATAACCTTTTTTTGTCCAAATGCACAGATTGCCACCTTTGATAATAGACAACTCATATATGGGTGGACGAGCTCACAGCCCGCGCGGGGTCTCTCATTATAGTTACAACGGCAGCCCCACCCTTCAAAACGAAACACATTACTACTTCACGGCAGAAATAGGTAGGGTGGTGGTGGTATCTACCCGTGCGGACTCACATGAGGTTCTACCTCCAGTAAAAAATATATGCTAATGTGTGCAACAGTAGTAATTTAATTATTTTTATTCTACAAAGGCCAGTAAGTAAACCACACTAAAAGTAGTAAGTGTGAGTTCTTCATGAAATTCTTATTTTAGTCTTCAAAATCTGGCACAAACATATGAAAAAAAAATGCAATCTGGAGCAGTTCTGTTAATATTATTCCTCAAAATGTGTTTAGGTAATTTTTCTATTTCTTGTAGTTTAAGATTTAAGTTAGATTTTATTTTGACTGACTACAATTTTACCATGTTTTCCACGTATTATGTCCAAGTAAGTGCACAAATTTGGGTGTTCTATGGACAGCAGTCTTTGTGCACGTCCTAAGATTGATATAGAACTGGGAGTAAGGGGCAGTCCATTACTTCCACAAGTTTCACCAGGGTGACTCTTAGCGAAAAACGTGCATGCAGCAAATTTGTAATTTTCTTCATGGTCACTGTGCATTTTATAAATATCTTTTTATATTGTTACATAAAACTGTAATAAAATTAACTGTTAATTTTTTTCTTGATGTTTATTTTTTATCGTTTGTGAGTTTATGTCAGTTTTTAACTTTTTTATTTTGGCATCGCGCGGTTTGCGCATATGCCACTGACAAAAGTAGGGAAACGCTTATCACGATTTAAAAGGACATTGCTCATGGAATTGGAAAAGGATCAGATTGGATTACTATGATAGTACAGATATAAGGATTTATAATTTCAAATTATTATTTAACAGGAAAAACATGAAAGAAGAGCTTTGATAATAATAATAATAATATTTATTCAAGCCTCTTAAAATACAAACATAATATACAAGAATTCTTAACACTAGTATAATAATATACATGGCTTTTTTATGAGGTATACAATAACAGTATTCCGTGACTTATAAGCTAGGAAAACCTGTGTTACAAAAGTCAGTGGTAAAGTGCTAGGTCACCAGGTAAAGAAAGTTAACCAGGAAGAGCGATCTGTAAGAATATAGTACGTACGTGTGTGTGTGTGTGTGTGTGTGTGTGAGAGTGTGTGTTAGTGTGTTTATGTGTGTATATGTGTGTCATACAATAAAGTTTAATAAAATATTAACTTAAAATTAGCTACAATAAATGAACAGTATATCATACTATATATACATATATCATTATACATTTTTACAACACGACTTGTTCTGTTTCAAAATAGTCTAAGCTTAAGAGCCAAGACTTCAGATTATTTTTAACGTCATACCTATTTAAGATAGAAGTAGGAAAAGGAACACAAAGGAGACGAGATTATTTTAAAAGGCAAAAACGTCATTCAAAGGGCAGGCAAAGAAAATATGATTAAGATCACCAACATCCCCACAAGCACACAAATCTGAATCAATTATATTAAATCTGGCCAAATGTACAGGTGGGTACACATGACCCAATCTCATTCGAATAATTGATGAAGTAACTTGTTTACCAAACCTCAGAGATGAAAATAAGTTAAGTTTATTCTAAGTTTATTCCTAAGTTTATTCTTCCATATTAAATTAATTTCTACTAAATATCCCTGCAATATATTTCTCAAACTTATAAATAATTATCATTTCAACAAAAACAGACTTTGTGTGCATTACATTTACATTTTTTGAACTACGTAATGTATTTAGGAATTATTAATTTTATTATAAAATTCAAGTATCATTTAATTTTATATCTCCTATTGAATGTATGAGTAATGAATAGCAACTAATAATTGGGAATTTAATTGTTTTTGTGATCGAACAATCACCAATAGTGGTCGAACAAACAAGTAAGAGGGGCCAACTTAAGGGTGATCATTTATTTAATTAATTATAAATACATAAAAAACAGACAAACAATTTTTACATTCGAACATTAACGAACAAATGACGAACAAATAATTAAAAATTAAAAAATCCGATGATCAAAAAAAGGGGGGCCAAATTCAGTAAGCCCATCACAGAGTAGGTATGTACCATACCTAAGTAAGGGTTACATTAAATGGAATTTAAGGATCATAGATTATACACTTAATATATTTGAGATTAAGGATACTCTTTTACGTTCTTACTTAGTACCTACAATTTTTTAAATAAATAAGTTTTATTTAGACAGGATCTCATAATTTATCATTAATTTCATAGTATTATTGACTGAGTTTCACTGTGTAAGTTGAACATTCATCATCATTGTATATTATTCGTACATTTTTTTATCTATCTTGTAACATATTGTACTCAATTTCGATCGTAGGTCGAACGTTTTTACATTTTTCACTTATGCATATACAGTTCATAATGGCCAATGCGAGAAGTCATAATGCACTGCAAGAAACAGAAAGGGAAGAAGGTGAAATAGTCGAAAGTTTGGATTATCTCTCGGATATATCGTCCGAGGAAGAATTCTTATTACGTCAAAGACTTCAAGTACTTGAGAATTACAACAATGTTCTTGAGAGAAAAAAAGCCAAGCGGTCTTCTATTGGGTCAGGTAAGGAGGAGGTTTAAATATAGATGATGATAATGGATAATTAGATGTATTAATTGCAAAATTAAGTATCAGATAACAATGCAATTATATGATTATACGTATTTCAGAACACAGGTTTGATTACAATCATTAGCTAAGCGTAATCAATTTAGTTAATGCTCGACAAGCTTTGCTGCCTATCAATTTATAGAAAAGAAAGATCTGCTTAAAGTACTTATGTGCCACCTACTGTAATTTGATGATACTATGTGCTGATGATCGTCCATAAGGTTCCAATAACAATGCTAATAAGCTTTAACTCTATTGGATATATAAGAAACATTTGTTACACCTCCTAATAAAGCATTTCTTCAGGTTCGATTGTGTTATCCAACATTGAATGTTGATACATTATAATACAAAAAGACCCATGATCCAAAAATACTATTGTATTTTCCATTCTAACGAAACAAATGAGATAAGCTGTACAGTTGTAACTGTTTATAGGACAAATGCAGTGTGTGTGTTTTTTCCTACTATTTGCTGGTAGTTATTTAAACTATGCTGTGATTGGTAGGCTCAATCTGACAGAATTTTCTAACATTGGTGTTAGCAAGAGCAGTGCTTCGCAGAATCTACCGCTGTATTGCTATTGTGACCTATTGAGAAGATTCGGTGAGAAATTGGTTTGTGTCTATGGGTTAGGTTGCTCTTTGTACTGTTTCTTACCATCAACAAGTTTGATGAGGATGGTAACTGGTACTCGAGGAGCCTAAAGGCACTGAGAGTGGACCTGAAGGATCCAACAACACATCGCGCAATGGTGGCTTTACATTGCCCCATTGCCTGGGTAACATATTTAATTAGTAATGGTCACGATAAGAGTATTATGTTGTCATGCTGCTTTTTCAAACTAATATTCTGAAGTTTCCTTTATATACGGTTATAAATTTAAGTTGTTGTACAGATCGAGACTCCTCACATAACAGTGTGTGTGTGTGTGTGTATGTTTAAATCTCGCAGAAAGATAACAATAGTGAAATATGTGAGTCATAATCCTGAGTTAATGTTGCCAAATTGTTTAAATCTACCTACCTGCCACTAAGCTTTTACCAGCTATGCATTCACCTGAATGCATGCTATGTTGTGTTCATTTCTTTTTGCAATTTATGTTAACTGTCTGTCTCTTAATTAAGCAAATTAGTGGGTCAAGCCCATTGATATATAAAAACCCAAGATGCACAGTCTCATACAAAAGTAGCACTCGAAACAGTCCCGAAACACCAATTATATCTATGTACTTATAATTATACTATAAACATAGCTTTTGCAAATTCTACCGTATGTGCATTGTTTAAAGTTGTTAATACAAAGCAGTGTACAATAACCAATCAAATTTTACGCAAAATCCCATATTGTTTCCTATTTAGTCATAAAAACAACAAAAACAAATCAACAAACTCTTTTACTTACCGAATATATGATATCCCACCCTTTTTTAACATTTTTGACGTAATACTTTTACAATTTCTCAACGAACACTTCGGGGTTTTTAACGAGCGCACAGAGACGCGAGCTACGCGAGACTATTTGAAATGAGCGCACAATTTTAAATTGTGTGTTCATTTTATGTGGACGGTTTTGAGACGGTGAGTGTGTATCTTGAGTTCTTTAATACATCAATGGTCAAACCAATAAAAGAAGAAACCTGCTATACTAAAACTAAAATTGTATTGTAAAATTATTTATATTAGTAGTTTTGCTTTGTAATGAATAAGTAAGTGTAAGTCTTTGATTAACTTATTTTTTATTGACATAAACAAAATAATTGTTCTCATTCTTGTCACAAAAATAAGTAAAAAATTAAGTAATATCAGCAGGGTCAGAAATTGTTTCAGATGATCCATTCTTTCCTTTTTACCATTGCACTCTCATCGGAACAGAATTCATCCATCCTATTAAGGACCATTTCATTCATCCATCCTATTAAGGACCATTTCATTCATCTATCCAATACCATCTGACTTTGGAATGAACATCCTTCTATGTTTTTTGTTTATTTCAATTCGAACGAGGTTTGCAGAAAGTATTGAGTAGGTAGTGGTTTGGCTGTACCCCTTACATTATCGACGTCCATAAGTGAAGGTAACCACTCACCACTTGCTGGACTGTATTGTGGCTGCACACAAAGGCATACGAATATTTATAAAGCACCTACATTAAAATATGATCCTATCTGAATAACCTCAACAAAATTATTGAAAATTCATTTCCAAATGATTCTTTTCAACCTAATGATTGTCTGGAAGAGATCGCTCTTAGTGATAAGACCGCCAATTGTACTTTTTTTTGTATTTAAAGTTTCCTATTGGTTTTTTTTGTTGGTGTACAATAAAAAATACTCTCTCTGTTTCTCTCTCTTGTATCTATTGTAACATACCACCTGAATATCTTTGGAAGCAGGGCACAGGGCAGACAAAACTGGTTGTTCAAACAATGGATTGTTATTTAATTCAAAGCTATCAACATAATCACCCAAATTTGCACGTGAAGATGCATTATTGTGTTCTAATGTATGATACATTAGATACTGGAGAGTTAACAGAGTGAAGTTAGATTACTACATCGTAAAAAGTTTACATAGCTACGTAGCACAGCCTTCCGCTTGACTGGAAAGCAGCTCCAATTGCGTTAGCAACTTCTAATTACAGAAGCTTCTTCCAATTGACTCCATAACGGCAAAGGTCATACAAATTACTGATGGTCCACGTCTCTTAGACCATTTCACAGTCATTGGGTTTCTATAAATTGTTTGAGTTTTTTCTTTCAGATAGTCTTGACGTCTTTATTTTACAGTATAATTGAGACATTAACTTTATGTCTCAAGGTGGGTGGCAGCATTCTCGTTATGATACTTTTCTGAGCTCTTGTAATCTCGTAACTTCATACTAAATTCGTGAGCCAACCAATAAAAAAATGTGTTTCTGACATTATCGTTTTCCATTTTGGATGTTACGTCGTTAACATGAGGTGAACCGTTCGCGACAACATTTATTGACAAATAAAAAATCATTTTCATATATTTCATTTCAATAACTCATCATATTTCAATAACTATTAAAGTAAAGCCTGAATAGCTCTTGAATTGCGAAAAATTGCAACTTTAGTATTTGCATTTTTATGATAATATTTTTTCCAGGAAATTTGCTCAAAAAGCCTCCTTTATTACTAGATCTATCTGATATTTCTGCGTCAGAAACTGAAGAGAATTACTGCACGCCCCAAAGCCACTTTGCTAAAGAACCCAAACAAAAAGCAAAATCACGTCGAAGACTGAAAAAACATAAGGAAAATTCGAGTAACGTGCTCCCAAGGACCAAGTATCACAAAAAATGTCACGTTTCAAAAAAGAAAAAAGGCGCAAAAGTTGTTTTAGAATCCAGCGACGAATCAGACGATGAATACAAATTTAAAAGAAGAAAGCTGGCTGATGCTGTGGTTGTGCATAAAGAGACAAACGAAAAGTCTTCCTTGAGTTCTAGGCTCAAAGAAATGTTACAGAAGGCTGTGAATCGTGAACCGTTAAAGACCTCATTGGGTGATAAAAAAGTAGAAAGTTCAAATAATAAAATTATGACTTACGACTTATCGTCTCCAATATCTCCAAGCACAGAGGGTCATGTTTCATGTTTTGAAATAGGAGACAGCGTTATTACAAAAACCAAGTGCTCACTTTATCATAAGCCCGAGGTAATTGAAGCAAGTGCCGAAGACGAGATCAGTACACAGGACATTAACCAAAACTCTAAAAGTAAAAACAATTTTGAATTAAGCAAAGATCGAAACATAGATATTGTTGATTCAGTTGATTGCATTCGTAAATCATTTGAACGAGAAGAACATTTACAGAAGGATTCAGATGATGACTTAGAAACTCTTCGACAAACAGCTCTTAACACGAAAGCTACGAAGTCATCACGAGATACAAGCGAAGGACCTGCTATAAATGAAAACAAAACGATGTCTGATGATGAAGATAGTGACACGGCAGAATTGAGATTGATTTGTCTTAAATCCACATTATTGAAAAAAGCCATTGAAATGAAACAAAAACAAAAGAGACAGAAAAAGCTGTCTCAGTCTTCTCATAAGCGGGATGAGTTGATCGATTCTCTGTATGATGACTTAAATAATCGTGATTCTGGTAATAACACCGATAAGGAATCCGTGGATATGGAAATAGGTTCTGATGAAACAACCGAGAGTCGTAAAAAGACTCAGAAACGTTGTCAAGAATTAGAAATCATTTCGAATCAAAACTTTGATATACTGCCACCTCAGAATGTGCCAAAACAAGACGAATTTGATGAAGACGAAGATTTGTTACGTGCTAAATTATTGACTTCGCTGAGCAAAAACCTCCCGAATCTTGTTGATGCTGAATTAATAAATGATTCAAATGGAAAAGCGTCTGCTTCGAATAATAAAAGCAATGCCGAAAGTATTCCCGAAGAAAAGAAGTTTATCATAAAACTCGGCGAATCAGACTCCGAAGCGGAAAATGAGGCTACTAAAAACTTAACAAAAATGCACATGAAGCTATCGGAAGACGTATGCTTCGCAACGAAGTTAGATAATCTATTAAAATCAACACGAATGCAGGTCGAGAAGAATAAACATTCAGAAACAGAAACAAATTCACCTGTAACAAAGAAACCAGAGAAATTCGTTGCCAAGGTCCGTATAGAAGTTTTGATTATTACCAAATTTATACTTTTTTTTTTTTATTTCGTTTAGGTCATGATAAAAGCTGTCAAACAATTTTAGGCCCTAAATAATTTGCCAAAATCAGAACAAATCGAGTATAGGAACTTAGTAAAGCGAATGGCTGAATTGGAAAAAATGAAAGAGTCCCGACAGTCCGCTATGAACCAAACGAATTCAGTGCTAAGTTCGGACACATTGAAGCCAAAGAATATGCCTTTCAATGCAAAAAGAATTGTAACAATTAGCAGTTTGGAAGAACAAATCGCTAATTCCAGGTAAGCTACCTATATAATTTATATTAACATATTTAAAAAAAGAAGACCTAGTACAAGCTTCTATACTCTATACAAAAAAAAAAAAAAACTTCTAATCTATGCATAATAAATATAAACGCATATAAATATAATTATAATTTTATAAAAATACGTAAATTAAATTTATATTATATTGTATGCCTATGTTACAACATTAGGAAAAAAATTGCTGAGGAATCATCGAAAATGTTGAAACTAAAGGAGGAAGCCGTAAAACTCTCACAAAAATACAAGATAGCCGCCACAGAATTGCGCAATATATCAACAGCGATTTACATCAATAAAAAACACCAAAGAGCCATACAAAATTCACTAACGAAAATACGTTCAGATCATCAACTTCTAATTAAAAGGTATGCTATATTCGATGTTTTATTTCAGTCTAAGAATTTATGAAGACATATCTAATTGTATTTCAGTTCCAGTAAACAGCCGGTGTTAAATAAACATTCCAAGATAAACAGAATAGTGGACAAAAAAATTAACAAAATCACAATTCCGAATCATCCCCAAAAGGAGAACGATCCTCTGAAAGTAGACCATAAAAATACGGTGTCAATTAAAAATACGAAATCTATTAAAGAGCATAAAGAATGTCTTAGCGCGCCTACACCGATGCTATCCATCGAAATTGATGTCGGCAGCAAGAGAAAAGTTGTTAAGTTGCCACCGAAAAATCCAGTCAAGTTGACCCCCACGAGTACAGATAATTTGCCACCGATAAGTCCAGTGAAGCCTAGACCGAACAGTCCCGTGCTGTTGTCCCCAAAGAGTCCAGTGAACGAGTCCATTCCAGAAGTCGTGAGAGGCAGGTCGATTGAAAAAAAAGACCACAACATAAATCGGAACGATGCCTCGACACAGTCGTCGGGTGATTGTGAATTTGGTGGTAATACAGAAGCGGAACGTGAACCGAAATTACCGAGAAGTGAAAAATACGAGAGGTTGCTCGGCGAATATATTTCGCCACTCGAATCACTAGGAACTTCGACGTGAGTATGGAATATTGCACTCATTGTCCTATAACAATAGAGTTCAATCTCGAGTTTCGATAATTATTCCAACATTCTGAAACGAATTAAACAGATAATCCTTATTCTAAATAATAACACTGATTTTCATAGCAATAGGAAGGTGAAGTGAAATTATCACCCTGTAGAAAATTTTCAAAAACTTCAAACTAAAATTTAGGACCAGTGTTTAAATGAGTATTGTGTTGTGTGGACATAGTTTTCATATTATAGCTTCATACTATATTATAGCTTTATACTATATTATAGCTTTATACTATATTATAGCTTTATACTATACTATAGTTTGATAGTTAAACGGTTACATGTCAACCATGTCAAGGGAGACAACTTCAATCCTATTCTTTAGTTATGAGGTCGGAATCTCAATAGCATTTCGCTTACATATTTTCAGTCGGACTTAACATTAACGAAATATACAATGAATAAAACGCTCCATTCAATTTCGAAATCGGAATATTGTCAGAGCCAACATTATTTAAATTATTAAATATTGGCCAAATTTGACCAAAGGTTGGCGTATTGGTCGACCGGTTCGGTTGTATCAGTGTTGGTTCCGAATTGGCTTGGACGACTTCTCATTATTTAGTACAGTCGATTTCGAACTAACACGATTGGGTTTTCAGTAGGTCGAGAGAAACCTATGTGAACGAAAACTCGAGACCAATGCCCATACAATGTTTTTACTTCGGCTTTTACAAAACAAACGTGGATAGCAACATGCGTACACATCGCCGTTCTCCGCAGCGATGTAAGTATGCGTTGGGACTGTCCACGTTATTATTGTTAATTTATCAGTAAAATTTTCAAATTATAATTTTACAGTTGGGGGGCCGATCCGAACGCGATCCTCTGTCCTTTCGAGGTCGGCGGAGATTGCAAGGACACCGAATGCAAATTCTTACACATCAACATCCTCACACAATGACACCACACACACACAGAGCACCGGCCGAGACACCATCGAATTCACTCGCATCATACATATCACATTTCAATCCCTCATCCCTTTTCCTACGACAGAAAACGGATCGTACTTGTGAAATTATGTGTAAAGTATATTCATCTCCTTTTTATTTTGTTTCTTAATTTATATTTTCCTTATCTTTTCTTTTTTCTTTTTGTTAATTAATTTTCTTTATTTTCTCACACATTAACACGAACAAATATCACGGCTATAAGCGATGTGATTATGGGCAGTCTTGTTTGCTTTTAAACTTATTTGTCTTTGAGATTGATCACTTTAAAATATAATAACCTCACCATATTAATTAATTGTTTTAGGTGTTTAATATAAATGTTTTCTAGCTTCGTAGTTGCCATAATTTTGTTTTGTTATACACTTTTAGTTACGGCGGAGGACGCAGGCGGACCTTCGGAGCAGCAGTGGTAAGTTTTGACAGTAACTTTAAAATAATAGTGTGTTAGTGTACGAATTTATAATTACGCGAACGACGAGACTGCAAGAAAGCACGGTAAAGTGTAACGTTATTTAATATTTAAAAAGAAACTTTACAATTTCGGAGTGAAAAAAAAAATACGTGATGTATATGAATAAAGTGTAAAAAGAATGAAAAAGAACAATAAAAATATCTGATTGTTGTACGGAATGGTGTTTTATTTGATCAAACGTTCTTCGAACGGTCACCGTCCTTGCCGAACCCGTCGCTTGCGACGAAGGGCTAGGGTCAGTGTTAGCAACTCTCTGGTTTGAGCCCCGTGAGCTCACCTACAAACGTTAGGGCGAAGCTGAAATAGCCTCTCAAGGCTATCAGCATAGGTAGGAAAAAAAAAGTCCTTCGAAACGTGTGAATGAAACGATATTTCAATTTTACAAATAAACATTTTATTGACGACGACTTGTAAAGAAAATACAAATGAAAAATACATTTCTCATCATACTGATACATATAATTAGATAAAATAGGTACGTATATTTTTTATATTGGAATAAAATTCGATATAATTCATAAAAAGCCCCGTTCAAGAGGGGACTATCATCAACAACTACTGATAGGTATTTAGCTAAATTTATTNAATTTTACAAATAAACATTTTATTGACGACGACTTGTAAAGAAAATACAAATGAAAAATACATTTCTCATCATACTGATACATATAATTAGATAAAATAGGTACGTATATTTTTTATATTGGAATAAAATTCGATATAATTCATAAAAAGCCCCGTTCAAGAGGGGACTATCATCAACAACTACTGATAGGTATTTAGCTAAATTTATTATATCGTAGGAAAACTGTGGGCACTTGTAAATAACGCATTTCTGTTCGATTCTTGAAATAACAAATCTAATCGATTATTTAACAAATGTCTTTCGATATATGTAATACAATAAAAATATAACAATTCATAAGAATTCTTTGGTGTTTCAATAAATTTAATAATATTTCATTATGATAGATAAATTCGATAAATTTTATATTATCTAATATTTGATTAGGACTAATGTGCCCACAGATGTTATCCGAAGTGTAGGAAGGCAGGGTGTGTTATAGTCAATGTTTGTGAAGAGTTAATATTAATTAGAAGTACATTTTATAATAATAATTATTATTGTAAACTCTACTGCTGCACTTCACTACAAAAACTGGTATATTTAAATTAAAAACGTTTTGATAAAAAGCGATATAACAATTATGTGATTTATAAATTAATAAATCTGAAAATTCGAACACTTAACATTCACAACGAATGATGTCTTAGGTACCTAGTAAAGTTTTGATAGATATTCTAAGAATTTACCATCCATCAGCAGAATCAAAACACCACTGCCGAAATATTCATGAAATGCAGCTTTACCATCATATTACGGCTAGCTCATTGCTTATTTTGGCCACGAATGACGTCACGCACAATGATGTTGCGTATAGTTGCATTTTGTAAAGCTGGTAAACAGTAACAGTAATTAGAATTTAATTTTAACAAAGATTTAAGTGGATAGGGTGTTTTGACAAGACTAGATGACGTCATGTGTATGCAGTATTGAGACATGAGAACTAGCATTAATTGTATGGGATAGACTCTTTAAACCGGAACGTTTTCTTCGCGGCAGAAATATGTAGTTTGCTAACGTTGATAACGTAGAATCATTCAGTTAGTAGTAGTAGTAGTTTAGTAGGGCTCTTTATAATCGAGTATCGGGTATGGGGGCGCCCGACTCGGTCCTTCTCTTCTCCCCCCCTTTCTTTCTGGAGGCTCTGTAGTCCGACAACCCGGTTCGTTACCCCCCTCGATCGGGTATCAGTAAATAGATTGCTCAGCTTTAAAAAAAAAGAGGGCTCTTTATAAAACCGTTTTAGAGTAGATTTTTTTGTGCGCTTTGTACACAGAAACCCCTTAAACCAGTACTCTCAAAGGTCTATGTTTTGGAGTACGTACAACGGAAGGATTTTTCGTGGTATTGGACGAGGCCATCCCGCCCTGCAATATTCTTTCTAGAAAAAAATGCTCAGTGTCCACGTGTAAACTAACGAGTAGTGAAGTGCAGTAAGAGATGTTTTATTGTGAGTCTATCTGAGCGTGTGCCACATGGCGACGGCCTTGCGAGTCTCGTGCGCCATTTGTGCCCAGTGCCGGCCCTCGGCAGCGGGCTCGGCCGCGCCCACGCAGCACCACCCCACTACCAGACCACTACTGCCGCCGCTCACCACGCACACCTAAAAAGAGATGAATTATCGTTGGTCTTTTGTTTTAGGATTGCGTCATCTTACAGTAGTCTCATCTATAAATTAATACGTGAAGCAAAAACTTTGTACCCCTTTTTACGAAAATTGTGCAGACGGAGGAGTATAAAATTTCCCACACTTATAGAGAATATTGAGGAGTGTAGAAAGCTATTTTTTATAAACTATCCATAAAAATACATTAAATCAATAAATAAAAAACATTACACACATTACCATGTATTGGACACACACTTTTTTATTTTTTTTCCTACCTAAGCTGAGAGCCTTGAGAGGCTAGACACACACAAGTCACACACGTATGTATAGGTACTATTTTGTTTAATGTCTTATTACATAAAGTCTGTGATCAAATTGAGAGTAGATTAAATATTGTTTGTCTTTATTAAATTAATATTTGTCTAAAGTGCAGTCTTGGCGAAATCTGTGATTATAGAAGTATATTCTTTGACAATAGAATCATAATAGTGTACAAATTTATAATTTAAATTAAATACGGTCGAATTTCAACTACTAGGGACTACTAGTAGAAATAATTTGTCAATCGATTTAACTATTATAGATCGAATCGATGACACCAAATGCTTACTTCTAAAGCTCACTGAGAACCACGTCCTAATTGGTCCAAGCATTGTGAAGAATAATCTAAATAAAAACAAGCTGTCTTGATCATTGCCTACTTAAAAAGAGTTCTTTGAGGAATTATTCGAGATAATCCCTTTTTATCGATGCACTGACCGCTCTCGGAGTGGATTTAATTCCTAGTACCTGGAGAAGTAAGCTCTATTCCACATTGCGCTTTTAGAGTTACACTTTATCACCTATTCTTCTGCTCTGGTATTAATCCTTCACGGTATTCCATATACCTTAAATATGCTCTTCTCCAAGCGAAATTTGAAAATAGTCATCTATTATTTTTATCTAATATGTTCTAAAAACTAACAGTATTTTTAAAATGTAACATGTTAGTCAGACTTAAAATGGCGTCATATTAATGGAATAGTCATGTGAGAAAATCAAGGAATTAACGTTAAAAATACTATCATGATTTATAGTCTGGACCTGAGAAACTCATGTAGTGTGCAACGATGTTAGCAATTTTGTTAATCTTGATTTTACCTCAATAGAAGCCTCTTGAAGATTAGCTGAGGGTAGACTGAACGAAAGGGCTTCATTCCACACTGGATTATTTATCTCTTTCCTGTTAGTTTTCTTCTTCTTCACTCGTTTGCCATTCACCAGTAAATACACTTTGACATATACATCTGGAACAGAAAACTTTTGAGTTTAAATTTCACTTTATTATTAGTGCAAAGAATTTTCTCGTGTGGTATCGTCTGGCTGTCGGGTGCGTTCAATTAAACGCGACCCACTGAGAAGATCGGCGAGAAACTCAGTGGGCTGTGTCTATGGGTTAATTCGCTCGTCGAGCCCTTCGTCGCAAGCGACGGGTTCGACGAGGACGTTGACCGGTGCTTGAGGTACCTAAGAGCACCGTTAATGCATCGGGAGGATCCATGACGTGTTTTGAGCGACGCCGACTGTTCACCATTCGGTCTACAGAATGGTATGTAGTATCCAGCGGCCAAGACAAGAGGGTTCTTTTTTTATTGCTTAGAATGGTGGATGATCTCACAGCCCACCTGGTGTTAAGTGGTTACTGGAGCCCATAGGCATCTACAATGTGAATGCGCCACCCACCTTGAGATATAAGTTCTAAGATCTCAGTATAGTTACAACGGCTGCCCCGCCCTTCAAACCGAAACGCATTACTGCTTTACGGCAGAAATAGGAAGGGTGGTGGTACCTACCCGCGCGGAGTCACAAGTAGTCCTACCACCAGTAATAATTCTCGTACAGTGCCGCCTAGTATTGCTAATATCTGGTCGGAGAATAGTCATTTCTAATTTAAACTAACCCAAAGCTTCTTTCCCCTCTTGTGGCGGTAGAAGATTCCTAGCTTTCAACACAACGACGGTAAGCCGCTCGGCGGAGGGTAGATAAGATAATGACAGCAGCAATTCTTGTAGCTCCTCAGGGGGACGTCGTTCACGAGACAGTTCCGCCCACACCTCAGCCCCACCGGCTACTTCCACCCGCGATAACGGAACCTTAGCCGAACCCATAACTTCATTACGGGAGAATCTGTAATAACAAAAGCTTAAAGTATTAAAAAAAAGATGTGTGGTCTCGTGGGACACCGGATAGGAACGAAGTTTTTTATTATAACAATATTAATTTTAAGTTCTATTCGAGGTATATAGAAAATAATTATTCGAGTAGGTATACATTTTTATTATGATTTTTTTATTGATAAAATAACTACTTTACAAAGCTTCCAACTTTATTTTATTCACAATGATTTATAAAAAATATATAATAATAATATACAAAGAAACAGCTATTTATAAGAATAATAATAATAACCGTCATCACGTAGACTATAGACTATATATTTGAAACTATAGCCATCATACTAAGACTACACATAAATAATAAAAACCTTAGGTTACGGACGTTTTTTCCCGGTTATTTCCCCTGCGCATGGACTCACAAGGAACTTCGTTCCAAAAAAAATTGCAGATCCTACATGTAGTTTCTATTTTATTTTGTGCCTTTGTTGGCTGACGATCATGCATCTCATCTTACGGTGAGGGCTCACCGTCAGTAATGGACGTCAGAGATATCAAGTGCACAGTCAAGCTGCTGATTCTAGTGGAGTAAGGATAAAGTTAAGGGCTACAAAAGTCTATAGACTAATTATTTAGAAAACAAAACTTGCCTGTCGTAATCGAACACTTGGAGCAGGAGAGTTTTATCGCTGAGCTCATCATGCGAGACGGGAAACTTGAAATGCTGGTCAAAGAACGGATTCGCCTCGTTCCTGTGGACTGGGGTTTGTCGTACGCGGGTGTCTACTTCAGGTAGGAGACTGACGCGGACGTAGGGGTCATTGAACCCGCCTGCTTCGTATCCTGCCAGGTCATGGGCTGAAAACGTAAAATTACATTTGAATATTATTTGTTTATTAGACCCTTGTCATGTATACATAGTGAGAGGCGTAATGTCGAAGACTTAGTTGGTTTGTATAACAACTATTCAATCCTTAAACCCAACCAAATGTCTAGGTAGTAGCAAGCAGGTGTGCATCTATCTTATCAGTGTAAGCTCGTTTACCCCCACTTACATATATCGCATAAGTATTACGTGTATAATTTTTACTATGCTTGGTTTGTTTTGAAAGTGTGTTTTTAATTTGCCGTAGCACCAACATGCCTCCATGATCGCACGACCCATCACTCGATGCGAAAGTGCAGAAGAGTACCTACCCATTAACTAACTAACTATTGAGGTTTGGTGCTGTTTTATACAACGGATTGAAAGAAGTACAGTTTTAATAATTTCGTGACTGATAATTAAATTTCCATTGATCTACGCGAGGAATAGTTTTTATATAGTAAAAACAATAAACCTTCAATAAGATGAACTTCCAGATCGGATCTATCGAAGTCATATTTCAAGCGTAAGTGTAGTCTTCCAAGCGAAGGTCCCAGCCCTTCGAGCTCTATCACGAGAGGCGCCTCCCTCTTAGTGTAGAGATCAGGTTGAAGTGCTCCCAGAGCACTAACAGCTGCTCCGGCTCCTGGACTCAGTGGTCCTGCACCGCTGCTGCTCTCTACCAGCGAATTGCTCCGGTCTATTCGTCTGTGGTAATTGAGGATGAACTTAGTTTAATAATAGATTTGTATATAATACTAGCTGACCCGGCAGACTTCGTAGTGCCTCAATCGATAAATAAAAGACTTAAACTTTTGTATAAAATAAACTAAAAAAAAAAAGATTAACAAAATTGTTATTTTTATTTAATTCCGAGCAATTTCATATTTATCTACCTTTTAAACCTTCTCTGGACTTCCACAAATAACTCAAGACCAAAATTAGCCAAATCGGTCAGGCCGTTCTCGAGTTTTAGCGAGACTAACGAACAGTAATTCATTTTTATATATAGAGATAATAGAATATATAATAGATTGTATAAAATATGCGAATAGTTAATTTCAAAATCTATCTTACTTTACCCGGATTAATTATATTAGAGTTTTGTTTTATTGCCCTTGTAGGAAGACGAGCATACGGCCCATCTGATGGTGAGTGGTTACCGTCGTCCATAGACATTAGCAAAGCCAGGGTCAGAGCCAAGCGGCTGCCTACTAGCTGTTGTCAATATTATATTGATTCAGCAACGTATTTAATGCTAATTGCGTTGAAGAGTTGGGAAACATAGCAGAAGCACTAATTCTGGTTCACCAAGGAAACGACCAAGGAAGATAAGATTTCATTTAAAAAAATGAGCATGAATTGTGACAGTTTTGTAGACACTACAAAGTGAGAAATGATTATCAAAATAAGCACTTGAAGTAGCCTGAGGTGACTTGGACCAAAAACCCTTTTTTTTTTCCTACCTAAGCTGGTAGCCTAGGGAGGCTATTCGAGCGGAACCTTAACTAGTAGGTGAGCTCACAGGGCTCAAACCTGACGACGATGCTAACACGAACCCTAGCAAGAGTAGTGCTTCGCAGAATCTACCACCGGATCGGAAATGCGACCCACTGAGAAGATCCGGCGAGAAACTCAGTGGGCTGTGTCTGAGAGTTAATTTACTCGTCGAGCCCTTCGTCGCAAACGACGGGTTCGACTAGAACGGTGACCGGTGCTTGAAGTACCTAGAAGCACCGTTAGTGGATCGGGAGGATCCGAGATGACGTGTTTTGGGCGACGTCGACTGCTTTCCATTCTGTCCGCAGGATCGGGAATGAAAAAAACCCGAATCTTCATATAGATAAGGGGAGAGAGACTGTTATTATATTTCGATAATCTATTATTTATGAGAAAGTATGTTCAGTAAATCAAACTTAGTTTGTTTATGTTATTCCGGGTTTCATTTCTCATAATGCTCGACGTGTTTACGGCTGTCCTGGTGTAAAGTAGTAAATACCCCGACTCTGGTACTAAGAAGTGTAAAGTGGCCATTACGATTTGAACGTCACCCACCCAACTTGATACATGAGGTCGTAGTCTCAATTGTATATCGACTGTCTCATAACTAAAGCGCACTATTACTTAGCGGCAATATTAAGCATGATGGTGGGGCGGCTTAAATTTATTTTTTATTTTTTATTGCTTAGATGGGTTGACGAGCTCACAGCCCATCTGGTGTTAAGTGGTTACTGGAGCCCATATACATCTACATCGTAAATGCGCCACCCACCTTGAGATATAAAGTTCTAAGGTGTCAAGTATAGTTGCAACGGTTGCCGCACCCTCCAAACCGAAACGCATTACTGCTTTACGGCAGAAATAGGCAGGGTGGTGGTACCTACCCGCGCGGTCCCACAAGAGGTCCTACCAACAGTAAAAATACCAGTAATACACGCTTTACAACCATTAAAATATTTCAAATTCACAATTCATAAAATTCGCAGATACCATAATAAGCAATTTCGTTTTCGTTGATTTGAATTCGAAAATATTTGCATACATCAGTCAACGTATAACAATAAATTGAAAATTCCTTACCCATAATGCAGATGCAAATTGTAAAAATAAAATTAATAAACGTCCGGTGACCGTGCTTAGAATTTATGAACAAGTTCAGTTTATTTAATTGTTTATCGTCGGGGACGGGCTGAAGGCAACAGATGTGGTTCGACGCACTAAGTAATTGGAACCTATAACCGAGCCGCATGGATTACACTAAATCTCTTTCACTCTCGGACTCTACGTTCTGTATTAGATTAAATCCAGAAGTCTTATTTATTTTTCTTTTGCATTAACATTCACCAGACATTCTATTTGTAAATTAAAATTGGTAAGTTTGCGATAGAAATACTTGATGCTGCTTCAGAATTCGTACTATATTCATCTGATATTGTGTTATACCGTTGTAACTATACTTGAGACCTTAGAACTTATATCTCAAGGTGGGTGGCGGATTTACGTTGTAGATGTCTATGGGCTCCAGTAACCACTTAACACAAGGTAGGCTGTGAGCTCGTCCACCCATCTAAGCAATATTTTTTTTTTTTATATATGATTATAACATTACAAGTAAAAAGTTAAACAGAGATACATGTGAGTAATCAATATTATAGATTAATCAACATATTATTATAACAACATATAGAACGATCAATATTTTCGAATATCTACGATACGAATGTTATTTCAAATTATGTGCAAATTTTATTAATAGAAAAAACAATTTTTGTGTACACATAATTAAATGTCAACATCTATTTATAGATAGGCAAAGGTAAAACAACTCAGTATAAATTTCAATACATAAAATATGATTGTCAACCGATTTTTTGTACATAACCTATTGAGGAGTATCAACAAATAAATGGAAGCAGTTTTTATATTTACAAGAAAAAAAACATGACATTAACAAAACAAAAGAGAAAATTTATGAAATTGATTTAAATATTAAAGTTTCTGTAATNGAATATCTACGAATGTTATCTCAGATTATATGCAAATTTTATTGAATAGAAATAAATAATTTTTGTATACTCATAATTAAATGTCAACATCTATTTAAAAATAGGCAAAGGTAAAACAACTCAGTATAAATTTCAATACATAAAATATGATTGTCAACCGATTTTTTGTACATAACCTATTGAGGAGTATCAACAAATAAATGGAAGCAATTTTTATATTTACAAGAAAAAAAAACACGACATTAACAAAACAAAAGAGAAAATTTATGAAATTGATTTAAATATTAAAGTTTCTGTAATTATGGTTGAATTTCGATCGCTAAGCAAACAATTTATTTCCATCATTATAAAATGTAAACAATCGCATTTTTAATCAACATTTGTTAGAGGATCTTATAGATAAACAGCCTATCGAGCTATTAAAAAAATACCAGCTTGCGATATTCCTTTTAGTCGCATATATCAGGTTTCTTATCCTTTAGGCCCCGACCTCGTCTAATATAAGTTAGTCAAATGTATTTTATTTTATATGCCTTGTTGGCATCAACAAAGGCGACGGACATCTAGAAAATACCAGCTAGCAATATTCCTTTTAGTCGCATATATCAGGTTTCTTATCCTTTAGGCCCCGACCTCGTCTAATATAAGTTAGTCAAATGTATTTTATTTTATATGCCTTGGTGGCATCAACAAAGGCGACGGACATCTAGAAAATACCAGCTAGCAATATTCCTTTTAGTCGCATATATCAGGTTTCTTATCCTTTAGGCCACGACCTCGTCTATTAAAAGTTAGTCAAATTTATTTTATTTAATATACCTTGGTGGCATCAACAAAGGCGACAGACATCTAGGCGGGGCATGTCTCGGGCTTGGTGGCGCTGGCGAGTCTGCCAAAGATGCTAGTGACCCATGAGCTAGAGGAGCTGCACGGACGTCCAATGAAGCAGCACGCAAAGGCGACGGTGATCTCGGCACGTTCACACCTCCGGCTTCAAGAGTACGACCGTCAGGAGCGAACGTCCGAATGGCAGGCGACGAACCACGATGACTCTGTTGAAGATAACACAGGTCAACACCAAATTTGACTTTGATTGCAAGGCATAAAATACATGGCATGAAACAGTTTGCTTTTGAACTTTAATAAATTGACCGTATACGAAACAAAATGCGTCAGTATCGTATTTACGCTTTCGTGACATTTTAAGTTTTTCTGGGCTTGTACAAAACACCTGATCGTTGTTTATGACTCGAGTGCCATCTAGTGGCACTGTGTAAACGTAAACACCCCACTCTCATAGCGCGGTTTTTTTGCAAGTATTAAAATTAATTAAAATTTATAAAAAAAAAAAAAAAAAATTAGTATAATTACTATAACTATCACAAAAGCAAACTTTATACAAAAAAAAGGTATTTTATTTTCATTTTTGTGAATAATTAACCGGAAAAACCTAGTATAAACGTTTGGACAAAGAACTATTTATTTTTTGTAGAGTTGTGTAATTCTCGGAATATAGGCTGATTAAAAAGATATACCTGCACGTTTTCAACTTACCAAAATGTAAAATAATCAGTTTAGATGTTTTACAGATTTATAAGAGATTAGCCGTACTCGCCCGCTTCGCTGGGCATTTAAAAATAACAATATTATTTATTGTCATTATTATCAGGGAGTCCAACACTCATATAAATATTAGCCTATCCATTCATCATCATAATCGGTTGCTCTTGGCAGAGCAGTCGTGGTCATGTGGAATTCTTGCTTATTAAAGCCTTGACAGATGTTTTCCATAGTTTGCGAACCGAGGCCCAGCGCACATTATTCCATTAAGTACATGTATTATCTACATGGAAACCAAGTTTCAAGTCAATCAGATGCATGGTTCAGTAGTTATAACGGAACAGCTGTAAAAACCACTGTAGATTTATATATTAGTATAGACTCTATTTCGAGAAAGTTTTCTTATAAATAAAATCAATAAAAGCTTATCGCGCGGAATCTTGTATCCTACATAATAGAACTTTTGCAAATAATGCTAACCTATTCGAGTCATCACAAACCAATATTTAGCCGTGCTTCAACCGTATTAGTCATTTATTATAAGTTTAAAGACTGTCAATAAAAAGGTGTACAAATATTCAAATTCAAAGACTTGGCAATCACTAGTCAAGTCAGATTTTTTTTGTTAATACTGGGTTTTCGTAGATTAGGCACGCGCGTTGTAAGTGTGCAAGCCTCAAGGAAAAGAATCGACCTCTTAAATATTGTCTATTCCCGACCCAGAAGTTCATAGGCTTCTATTCTCAAAGCTGTCATGACGTTATTTCCAGCCGTATTTGAGGACAACAAGGGTACGACATAAAACATTCTTAAGAGTTTTATAATTACAGTGGATAAGGTAGCACACGAAAATACCTATTGCTTTTAAGTTCATTTAGAAATCGCTTCGATTTCTTACTTCTGCGATCATACCTTCCTAATTTAAGGTACCCATTTATTTTAAAGTAAATGGAGCGTACCGATATAGGTTTCCAATATTATACCAACCATTATTTGACGTGAGTTCAGATTAGAAAACCCGATGTACATTAATATGTTCAGCCACTTCGCACGTTACGTGGCCAGTTGATGAACGAATCGAGGTGTCGATTATTACCTACATTTCTTGGTGCCTGGTACTATTCTAAAGTGGATTCTAATGTATATTTTCAATCCGCATCGTGTCGCGTGCGTAGTCACGATCAGAGCGTTCGAACCAGTCAAATGGAGTTTATCTGTAATTAGGATCTGGTAATGGCGTTGTGAAGTTGTATTTGCCAGAAATTACTCAATATAAATGCCGCTTTGTGCAGATAATAGCATTAAATTATACGTTTAAGTCTACGTGCCTTTCTGCTTAACTTTAACGTTCTAGCTTTACGATTATTAAAGTTTGAGAAAGTTAAACCGATTAAAACAAAAATCTGTTCGCCAACCAAACTGACCCGTAAATGAATAGGCCAATTATCTTTTGTAATTAACGGTTATCGAAAACAGGTTAACATCGAGTGACCGCTATTTCCCGTTATCTATTTACACATTACTGTCATTTATAATTGTTGTATTAGAACAAAAATAGTTTGTACAAAGCAGGATCGTTATTAAGCTTTGTGAGAGTCATTGCAGTCGTGAACAATCCATTATAAATATTCCCCCGGCACTAGACGATTCAAATGGCCATTCTCTGTTCGTTGCAAAAGGAATTAAATATGAGCAAGCATGAGAATTTTCTTTCTGTCTGTGTTTTCGGTCGACTGATTCAGTATGCAGTTTGCGAGCTCCGAGATCTCTTGTGATGTTTCAGATTAATTTGTAGGGCAACAAGAATTTAAGTGCGCTTCGAACTAAATTTTTTTCATCAATTTATTCGATACTTTTTTTATGTTTTTATTGTGCACTGGTTGTGTTTTTATTTATTCTTGCTTTTATAAAAGTGAAATAGGTTGGACCTCTTGTGAGTCCGCACTGGTATGTACCACTACCCTGCCTATTTCTCTCGTGAAGCAGTAATGCGTTTCGGTTTGAAGGGTGGGGCAGCCGTTGTAACTATACTGAGACCTTTAGAACTTATATCTCAAAGGGAGTGGCGCATTTACGTTGTAGATGTCTATGGGCTCCAGTAACCACTTAACACGAGGTGGGCTGTAAGCTCGTCCACTCATCTAAGCAAAAAAAACATTTTACACTACAAAACGGCATGTGCAAAGACGAGCTTTTAACTCAGTGAGATTGTTCAGCAAACCACACAAGGAGAGCTATACAGATGTGATAGAGGTGAAACGTTCCTAAAAACTGTGTTTATTGTGTACCTAGTCCAGCCATAAGTTCTATTACAAATGAAAATGCATTTTTAAATGAAGTAATGTAATATTATTAAAATTTATACCTGCATGTTTAATAAAGTCTCAGCAAAAAATAAAAAAAATACCTATTCAATTCGAAATGGCCACTTTTGGCTTTTACACGGGTTTTTAATCTGTTTGGCCACGAATCTATGGATTTACGCTCTGTTTCCAAGGGAATCTTCGCCACTGCTTTTTTTAAGAGACTCAATACATAAAGTGACAGACTAACACAATTTCATTCCGATGTTAAACCACAGTTAATTATTAGAACTTTTCAAAATTCTTATGATCAAATTAAAAGTCCGGCAAAATATTATCGTTTCCATAAAACTATAATGATAGTTTGGTCCTAAAGTCCTTTTTTGATAAATTTTCTATCAACATTGCACTAATATAGCGTATGCGAAAATAATTACAAGTATTGGTACAATAGAGATACGAGTTATTTAGTCGATTTAGTTCCAAATTCTAGTTGTCCCCTTCTTTCGGCAGTAATGCAACTGAATCTCATCGCGTGAACAATAAGGTGCTTTCGTATACTCACAGTGGCTCTTGAAGTGGCACTGTCCAAACTACTCTGAGATGATATAGACGGTGTCCTGGTGAGTCTTGCATGTGGTAGAGAAGTTGCAGCCCGGGTGTCCGAATTCAACGGCTGCACACGGCACTGCTCTTTCGAAATCAACATCTCCTGTGATAAAAATATTTCAAAAAATATAAGTTGCTGTTATAAAAAAAGTATTATCTTATATCTTTAAACGAGAAATTCTTGTATACAAATATATATGTATACAATCTGATTCTCGGAAACGGCTCCAACGATTTTCATAAAATTTAGTATACAGGGAACTTCGGGGGCGATAAATCGATGTAGCTACGATTCTGTCGGTAAGATCGAAAAATATTATTCATATTTAATAATTTTATCAATATGTAATTCGTATTTAAATATAATTTCTGAATAACACAATTTATCATCTGTCATCTGCTAGTATATGTTAAAATACACCCGGCGATAAAAGAAAGCAATAGTTGTACTTTATCTGTACGTTTTTATTTTTTTGCTGAGATGGCTGGGCGAGCTCACAGCTAGTGTTAAGTGTTTACTGGAGCCCATAGACATCTACGATGTAAATGCCGCCAACCACTTTGAGATATGAGACTAAGGTCTCCGTATAGTTACAACGGCTGCCCCACCCTTTAAACCGAAACGCATTACGCTTTACGGCAAAAATAGGCGGGGCAGTGGTACCTACCCGTGCGGACTTACAAGAGGTCCTATCATCAGTAAAAACCAGTGTAAAGGATTTGAATTACGTTTGCTTTTTAAATAAAAAAACTCAATTGGCAATTAAAGTAAGTGTAATTTTAACGCTAAGCTATTAAGTTTAGGAATGGTTTGATACAACCAACGCACTGTGAAATAATGTGTGATTTAAGCATAAACTATAAATTTAATTTATAGTTTATGCTTAAATCATTGTACCTAGGATTTAATGGGCGTACTCTGCTAGTCGACCAAATATTGGTATAGAAATAGTCCGAGGTATGTGCAGTAATAAATATAAGTGCAATTCTGGAATATACAATATGCAAATAGCACTTCGCTTTGAAGAATGCGTAGCCATTAGAGAAAACGTCCGGTGTACTCGTATAGAGGCATGTCACCATGACGGTTCTGAGGCAGATATGAATTTCATGTCATTCCATTCCACTTTAGAAAAGTATGAACGTCTTCCATAATGAACTAAATCTTAAAAACGAGAATGTTTTTAGTAGGGTACTGTTTACGGGCAATTTATGTTCCCCTTTAAAAAATACAGCTGTCACTAATAACTCAGTAACTACCCTAATATACCATACGCCCTACTTATATAAGTGTACTTTAAATTCAACGACTTTTTAAAAAAAAAATGAGCTGAATAATACAACAAAAAAATCTCGAAACATAAAGTTAAACTTCTCAACAATAAAGCTGAGTGTTATATAAAACCGAGTCCTAATAACATAAGGAGCTTACTGAATAAAGTCCCCTACAACTGCAGGATAAAAGCTTCGTCCACGGAGCGGCTTTCAAGTATACAAGTATTTGAGGTATGGATCGTAAAATCAAATTAATTTATGTATTAAATTTGTAATAATCAACATGTTTTTGCAGTTTTTTTGTTTGCTAAAATGATTTTTACCTTCTCTTTAATAAAATCGTATCCAATTTAAATGCTCGTAACTCATTTGTATTTTTTTTTAGATCAACTTCTTTTGATGCCAATTTTTCATAACTAGTTGTGCCTAGAAGTCGTCGTGGCCTAAAATATAAGACGTCCGGTGCATTCGTGTTGAAGCGATGCACTGGTGTTCGAATCCCGCAGGGGGGTACCAATTTTTCTAATGAAATACGTACTCAACAAATGTTCACGATTGACTTCCACGGTGAAGGAATAACATCGTGTAATAAAAGTGAAACCCGCAAAATTACAATTTGCGTAATTAATGGTGGTAGGACTTCTTGTGAGTCCGCGCGGGTAGGTACCACCGCCCTGCCTATTTCTGCCGTGAAGCAGTAATGCGTTTCGGTTTGAAGGGTGGGGCAGCCGTTGTAACTATGCTGAGATCTTAGAACTTATATCTCAAGGTGGGTGGCGCATTTACGTCGTAGATGTCCATGGGCTCCAGTAACCGCTTAACACCAGGTGGACTGTGAGCTCGTCCAAACATCAAAACAATAAAAAAAAAAGAAGCCCAATCTTACTTTAACATGAATAATCGATTAAATAATTTGAATGGATGACACCAATAGAAACTCACTCGGATGTGTATTAATAGTTTTCCTGGAAATATACACCGGTTTCGACTTATTCCAAGGTCTAAGCTACATCTAAGTAGTTAAGAAGTGTTTTTTACATAATTCATAAAAATACCGGATATATATTATAATAAACGTACTCTATTACTTTGTTATTTACATTTTTACGACTGGTTTATGATAGTAAATGTCGGGAATAAGTATATTTTTTTTCATAAAAAGGCGATAAGTAAAAGTTCTTGTGATCCGTGATACGATATAAAAAAGAATCGTGAATGAAAAAATATGGTAAATACCATTTTTGCACTACACTAACGTGTAATATAAGAAAAACAGCTGATACGTACAGTTTTATTATCGAAAGCGGAGAGGCGCCTGCTAAATGATTTATATTTTTATTAAAAAAATGTGACTGCATAAAAATATATATATTAGAAACTATAAATTACTACAAAATATCTATTAATTACCTCAAAATATTTTTTATTTTGTTGTTTTTAGAGTAGTTTGCAGCAAATTCTATTGTCTAAATCAAATTACTCGTAAGTTGAGTTCTATCAATAACCCTTTTATGGTAAATTATTCGTCACTCAGGTTATTGGACCTTTTGTTGCCAATTTATATTTTTGACATTCACCAACATTTTTTTCTTTATTGCTTAGATGGATGGACGAGCTCACAGCCCACCTGGTGTTAAGTGGTTATTGGAGCCCATAGACATCTACAACGTAAATACGCCACACACCTTGAGATATAAGTTCTAAAATCTCAGTATAGTTACAACGGCTGCCCCACCCTTCAAACCGAAATGCATTACTGCTTCACGGCAGAAATAGGCAGGGTGGTGATACCTACCCGCGCGGACTCACAAGAGGTCCTACCACCAGTAATTACGCAAATTATAATTTTGCGGGTTTGATTTTTATAACACGATGTTATTCCTTCACCGTGGAAGTAAATCGTGAACATTTGTTGAGTACGTATTTCTTTAGAAAAATTGGTACCCGCCTGAGATTCGAACACCGGTGCATCGCTCAACACGAATGCTCCGGACGTCGTATCCTTTATGCCACGATGACTTCTAATTATTTGTTGTTTGTTGTTGTTGGGCATCATTAGTTGGTGCCCAACGTTAAACGTTACTTAAGTTACAAAGTTTCAAAGATTTCGGGTAAAAAAGGGGCTTAGTGAGTCAACATACACTTGGACTTCCATGGGACTTGTCATCGCCGAAGCTGTCAGTCGAATTATGACTCTGGCCGCTGCTGGCGCTTGAGGTTCTCTCTCTGGCAGCCCGCGCCCATGACTCTAACCTCTTCTGCGCCGCCCACACACCAGGAGGACCCAGTCCACTCATCGTGTACACTTAACACTTCATTTGTAAAGCAAAACACAATTGTCTCCGGACAGTTTTAATCAAACATTTTACTCTCAGTTCCAGTGTTCGTCCTGTTAATATGAATGGTTAGTGGAAAAAATAATTAAAGCTGCCTATTTCTTAAGCAGAAATTAAAAAGTAATTCTGGACCATATAACAGGGACAACGCTACGCGAAAAACACAGTCGATGTCACGAGGATGTTAGAAAAAAAACCTAAAAAATACCGTTTTTTTTTTAAAAAGTACTGCTAATTTTAGTTGTTGATTAAAGACGACACATATTATTTGTTTGAAAGCAACCGAGACGGCGGGTCGGTGATTTAGGGGTCACAGACGGAGCTTGCCCTGCGTGGGCGCCGCGTCAATACTACGCCGCGTGCTCGAGTACTACGCCCTCAGAGGCGGATGTTTGTTTACATTGCACACATCGCGATGCCTAATGACATACGTTGCCGACGTGTACCCCCACACGCAGAAAATCTATAAATTTTCGCCCTAGTTCCGGTCCACATGTTTTTGATGTTATATTGGCGAATCTAGGCTGACGTGTTAACGACGGCTTACAAATGTCAATTCAATCGCATTCAAATCGATAGGCTCCAGTTGCGATACAACGCCCAAACAAAATTAACCGCGGTACATCTGGTTTAATATTTATATGGGCAAGTGAGCTTACTTCAACGTAGAAAGTTCAAAAAATTGATCCTACGAGTGCTTTGAGGCATATCACGTTATTTATTTAGTGAAATCGACTTTTGCGCTCAAGGACAGTCTTCGAAAGAATTCTCTTCACACATTACATAATCATTACATATTGTTATTATTATTTGTTTTGGTGTAGCACACGTTTGTGCACACTAAGAAAATTTGCATTTAATTTAACTGCGCACAGGACTTAATGAAAATAATTTTCCCGAAGAAACTAGTTGACGTTTCTGAGAGCATCATAAATCCAATTATTCTATGACAGCATTTTAATTACGCGAGGAAGTGCCAGTTAGCGGGTTTATTTATGGAGACCGTTTTATAAATTAAAAATGAAGGAGCGAGGCGTTCGGAATACGCGAGGTAAAAAGCTACAGAAATCGCAGAAATGATGTCACTAAGCCCGTGTGTCGAGTTAACACGTAATTTTCGGAAGCTGCGAACGAGAACACGCAAAATATTTTTACGAGGCCGACCCCTGGATATAGGGCTAACTGTTGCTTCAGAATCTTTCCCACGAGAGATGTTATCCCGACGAGTTTAGGGGCTTATTTAAATTTTAAACCGCCTCGTGATGTCGTGATTATCTTTACAGTTACATTCGCTAAATTCGTACAGCGCGAATAGCGCAGACGTATTTATTATTAATTGAATTGAATACTTAAAAGGAGGTCAGATAATAAGTGTTCAGTATGATGTTTTGATATACACTACTACACATACTCGCAGACAATTTAATTATTGACTAATTTTCTACAAAACACTGCAGCAATAATTCTAAGAGAGAGAGAAAGCCCGTAATTA